ATAAATGGGACAAGTAAAATTATGGTGAGCAAAGACGGAGTACTTTTCCAAGTCATGACGCCTCAAATTTTGGATATAGAAAAGTCAGACATTTTTACCAATATGCTATAAGTAGTTAAAAAAATTACCTAAATACTGTACTGTAAAAAATATTCATCCAAATGTCACACAAAAAATCATTCAAGCTAGGAACGAGTTAATATTTGTGCAGAATTTGTTTAGCCCAATAACAATTTTTATTGTTAAAAATTAATCATTTTAATAAAAAATGAAATCGTTCGCGCTTAGTGAACAAGTTCAAAACTTAATTTTCTTTTAATAAAAAGTAAAATTATTCATTAAATGAATGAGTTTAGCTTTTTTGACTAATGTGACATAATATTCATTGTGAATGTCGTGAGAACCCCAGCATGCATATGACATAAAAATGTGTTATAATCCCATGTTTTATTATTTATTTTAGGTTGATATGGAAAAAGAATTATACAAGCTAACAATTAATTTTCGTTTAGAATGCTTTCATTGTCTTGATTATTACGATAGATTGTTCAAAACTAACACAATATTTTAGTTACAATGAGAGAAAACAATTTAATATGAACGCTTAGCTTGCTCCACCTAGAATTAATTTGCTTTGTCCACAAATTTTTCAAGATAGATCAAGCAAGCGAAGTGACTTGCTACTTGTCTATCTAATCACTAGTTGAAAATGAAAATATATAGAAACAAGAATTTTAAAATTTTAATTAATTTCATTACATGCCTATGTCATCATTATCAGTGCCCCTCTTCTTCTCCAACTATGTTAGTAATGTTATGTATTCTTTCCGTTCAAGAATATAAGGCATTTTTAATCGAATCTCACCTCCTAATAAAGTAGTTACTTATTTTTTAACTAACCCTATCTTTTCATATTTATCCCTATTAAACACCCTACAATAAATATAAAATCATTATTAATAGGGGTATTTTTGAAAAAAAGGCAATAATTATACCTCAAAAAATTAAAAATATTTTATATTTTTAAATATCTAACTCTTTAAAAAATGTCTTATATTTTTAAATAAAAGAAGTAATTATTAACACTTTTTCTCCAATTATTCAGTCACCATTTTTCATTCAAACAATTATTAACTGATTAGGCAAATCGTTCATTTCATTTATTAAGGGAGAGAAAGTGCTGGAGATAAAGTTTAGAAAATGGTCATGTCAAGAAAATTTTTGTTTTACTTTGGAGTAAATATTGAAGAAATTGTTCATAGTGTCACTAATTTTGTAAGTTGTTCCTTGTGAGAATGATTTCATGTGTAGTATTTTAGGAAATAATTCCTACCGCATAGCATTTTGATATTTTTTATTACTATTTATAGCATCTTTATTAAAAAAACGGATCAGTCAAGTACCTAACCTTGACTTTTGGTCAACAAAAAAAAGAGTACCTAACCTTGACCTGGAACTTGGGGGTTTTAAGATTGAGAATTTGTGGAGATGACAATTTGTTGATTTTTTTTTTTTTTTATTAGAGGAAATGAAGGGCATTGGGGTATGGTATGGTATGCAAGCCTTTCAGCTGAAGTCGGCGGAAAAAGAAAGAGAGATTGTGAGGGTCCCACGGGAATCGAACGGTCAAGATTAAAAGCGCTCTCCATCCACCCACCCCCCCTTCCAAAAAGGATACACAATAACTTCCTATTTTTGTTCCCTCTCTCCACATTATTTATTTTTAAAAGATTTTTTGGTTTTTAATATAAGATATTAATAGGTTTTTTTAATTTTAATTTTTAATATTAATATTATTTAAATTCATTCATTGTAAAATAAAATATAATATAAATTTAAAAATTTTCATTGAAGTAAGGGTAAAATTGAAAGTTTATTTTATTTTCTACAAAATTAATGATTTAACTATCTTTTATTGGTTCTAAAGAAGTGATTAGAAGTGTCTTATAATAAAAATTAAAAAAATATTCAAAACAAACAAGTCTAATAGTCCCTTCATTTTTTAATGTAAACAAATTTTAAACCACTTGCATAATTTAAGAAAGCTTATTTATTATTTATCCAAATAATCATATTTAAAATTGAAAAATATAAATTAAAATTTTTTATAATTAATGAAACAAGCTTTGTCTCTTGGAAATAAATGTTGCTTTTATGAAGAGCATTACAAGAAAAATATAATAATTACTTCTTGAACGGTGCAGCAATACAATAAAAATGTAATATATGAAAAATGTAATATTGTAAAAGTATTATTAATAAAATTTTATTTTTGTTAAAGTGTTTTATATTTTAAAATCCAGAATCTCCCCCAAAAATATTTTATAATTTGAGATGGAGGTAGTACAAAATTTTTAATGACTTTAAATAAAAATAATATTGAAAAAGGAGAAGGATTAATACAAAATCTTCAAGGAACAAGAAAAGGATTTCAATTCCCTAGTACCAAACATGGTAAAACTCCATTTCATCACATTTCCCCCATCCATTCCACTTAATCGATTCATATCAAACAAGCTGGGGCCTTCAAGTTTCCTCTTTGTTTGCCTTGCAAAAATTTTTTAAAGTGATTTGACTTGGATAAAATTCTATTTCCTTCTCTCTACTATAACTATATATATATATATATATATTCATAATAAATTAATAATCACCTAATCACTAATGTCTCAATTGGTAGATGTTTTTATTTTTGGTTCCAGGATAAAAACATGATATATGCAGAATTTTTTAAAAAATCTTATCATACCTGAGAATATAAATGGTGGAAAATAACAAAAAACAAATAAATGCAAAAATTGTTTTAAAATACAAAGATAGTATTTCTCCAGACAACAACTTTGACATATCCGTTACACGTGTTTTTTTTTTGAGCTCACCCAGTTCACTGAAGTTTTGCCTCGATTACATCTGAATCCGACCCGCGTCGCACACCTAGCATGGTGGATGAGTCTCCCAGCAAAAATTTTCTACATACACAAAACTCGAACTCAATACCTTACTTAAGCGAAACCGAGTCACTTATCACTCAAACTAACTCCCATTAATTATCGGTTACATGTGTTTTGATGCAGGAATGAGGGCGTTTTATTCTTTTCTGTTTTGGGTCAATGTGGAAACGAAAAGCACAATGTAATACCACTAGAGTTGAGAGCACGTGAACAAAATATCTTTCCACCATAACTTTTTTTTTTTTAGGGGAAAAAGCAACAACAATAAATGGCCTTTCAAGCCACAACTCAACGTAGCGGGTCGAATTTCGGAATTATAAGTGTTTTAGTGCTAAAATAGTTAGATTAAGATGCTAAAATGATCAATATTCATTAGTTGGCCAGGGGGAAGGGAATTACATACATTATTCATATGTTAAGAATAATTTGACTAAATTATTCTGGCAAAGAAGAATAATTTGACCTTTATCAAGTTTCATATGATTTTTATTAATCAAATTTTGTATAATTTTAATATATATTTTACTTTTCAATATAAATTAAATAATAAAAGATGACATTTATATAAAATTTCTGGTTAATAGTTAAAAATATATAGTAAAGCCAATATAGTACACTCTCTATTTTTAAGCCTAATTATTTTTTCTGTATAATACTATATTCTTTTTTATCCTATATGTAAGTCATATTTTAAAAAAATTAATAATGTATTTTATAAGTCACTTTATAGGTCTAGACATGATATACACTAATAAAATGTTGAAGTTACAGTATGAATTTTTAAGATGTGGATCTCGTTGTTTAAATACTAATAATACTATGACTTACTTCATCCAATTCAAAATAGAGGATATGTTTAACATTAGAAAAAGAGAGGATATTTTTAAGTATTATTTCACAAGAATAAGAAAAATAATTAAGATAGTTTGTAAAATTAAAATGGTAAAAAATCACATCTACTTTCTAAAATTATTTTCCAATTAAAATCATTACTCCTTCCATTTTTGAGTACTCTTTTTGTCCTATTTATAGAGTAGAGAGAAGATTAATTTTGATCCTATTTTTAGAACACTCCACTATTTTTCTGTTTATATTTATTTTTCTATCCTTATTAAATGTTAAAAAAATTATTAAAATAATTCCTTTTGCTCTTATTAGAGATAGAGGTGGAGATTTATTAATATTTTAAAAAAAGTTAATGTAATTTAAAATTTTTCTCGATTCTAATAAAATATATTAGTAATAATTTATAGATAAAATTGGATGTAAAGTAAGAAAAAATTTCATATGACTTCTTATTTTAACAAAATAACAGTTTTCAAGAAACATTTATGACACCTTTCCTTACTTTCCTTTTATTAAATGATAATATTATTAATTTAAAAAATTTGAAGAATTAATCATAAGGACATTTTAGCTGGTTAAAATTTGCTTATATTTGAAAACGAAACAAATATATCTTAATTACTTACTCCCTTTAAGTATCATGTTTTTAAAATTATACACTTTTTTTATATTTATTTTTATTTAATAAGTGTCTTAATTAAAAAAATCTTATCAATGATACTCCTAATTAAGTGTATTTTTGGAAAAATTCTATTAATTGCATGTTGAAAGAAAATATGAAAATGACATATAATAAGGAGGGAGTGTCTTTATTTTCTTTCCTACGTAATATCTTTATATAATACAATTATTAATAAGATTATTTAAAAAAATATTAATATTATTAATTTTGTATAAAAAGTCTTAATAATTTGGGTTGATAGACACAATGACATTATAAAATTCATATCATTGATCCAAAAAGTAATTCATAAAAAAATTCTTATACTTTGGATGGATAGGAGGGAGGAATTTAAATTCAATGCAAGCCTACAATTTAATAATACCGGCAATGACTTTTTTTAGCTTAATTATTAATTATTATTCATATTAGTAATTAATTAATAAATAAGTAATGGAGACATTAATGGCTATCGTCATCCTCGAGTGTTGGAATAGAACGCTTAAAAAAAAAAAAAAAAAACCACAGCCAATTCCCAGAGGGAATACTACGAGCGCGTCAAGAGTGGTTGACGGATGTGGTTCGAACTCGGAGCCTTGCAGGTTGGAAGCTCAAGCATGAAAGTGAGTTTTCGCCACTTTCGCTTGAAAATCCATTTGTCTTGTATACAAAAAGCGGCAGTTGCCACAAGGGCAGGGATCGGGTTTGCTTCCAATAGCAAAGCTTGGTGTTCAAAGCAATCATTTTTTCCCTACTTTATTCATTCATTATCATCTCCGATCACTTCACCCCTATTTTCTGACTCATTCACCCACAATTCAGAGAGGGGGGAGAGAGAGAGATAGATTAGAGAGAAGGGAAAAGCCAGTTGTGCTGTGTATTTGTGCTTTCCACCAAGTTCGCCTTTTTCTGGGACCGTGAAATCCTTCCGCCTCTCTTAGGCAAGTGGGTCCTTTCCTTGTGGCCCTACTCTCCCACTTGCTGCTCCCTCCCTCCCTCTCTCTGCTCTCTTAGCCTCTGCTTACCTGCTGGTCTCTTTCTTTTCTTTAATTGTTCTCTTCGTACTCCTCCTGTCTCTTCTATTTTTGTGCTCTGCTTCCCAGTACCAAAAGGAAGATCCTTTCTTTTCCCAATCTGGATGCGCAATAGTCTGTGTTTTATTGCTTCGTAAAGGTGACGCGCACTTTACAGAGCTTCTGAAATTGGGGTAGCTTCGTATGGTTTGTTGGGGTATTTCAGGATCTTCTCCCTAGTGGGATTTACTTGTCCTGTGAAAAGGAGTCTGTTCCCTTTCAATTCAAGCTTATATATATCACCGTGATTCTCTTTGCTTTGGTGGGTGCTGCTTGAAAGTTGAAATGATTCATGGTGTTCTTTAGATTTCAAAGTTCTGTCGTGGCTTTCTGAACAATTTATCAGATGCCTTTCTCCGAGACGTAGCGGTTTTGATTTCATGCTTGGTCCAAGACAATGGAGAGGTTGCTACTCCTTTAGTATTCAATACGGTATCTTAGTGAAAAGATATGAAGAACATTCTCAAGAAGCTTCATATCATGCCCCATCAATCAGAAGATACTGAAGGGTCTACTTCATCAAGAGGAAGCAAGTCCCACGATGGTTCATCCCCTAAGAAGCTTTCTCACTCTCGGTCTCCTCAAGTTCCTGAGAATAAACCCTTTTCAGGGCTCTCGAATTGGTTGCATGCAGTTGCGAATAAGCAGAGTCCCAGTTCTCCATCTTCGAACCTCACAAGAGGAGAGAGAACAGAACCGTCTGATTCAATGAGCAGTGGTGGTCTGGACACTGTTTCTGATTCTGCGAGGTGTGATACAGCTTCTAGCACTTCGAAGGATCCTGAAATCGAGGAAGAGTATCAGATTCAACTGGCTTTAGAGTTGAGTGCAAAGGAGGATCCTGAGGCCGTGCAAATTGAAGCTGTCAAGCAAATCAGTTTAGGCTCTTGTGACCCTGACAATACACCTGCTGAAGTTGTGGCCTATCGATACTGGGTAAGTTTATTCACTTTAACATCATTGACTTTGGGTCGAAAGGAAGTCACATTGCTGTTGAGGTGGTGGTGGTTCCAGAAGGATCAAGTTAGGGAGCCGAATAAGTTTGATTGTTATGTCATTCATGAAGATGTATGGCGCTTCCAGAATTTGAGAGTCTCAGATGAGTATGCCGAGCATGCATCATTTGGATTATGGATACACTGAAATCGAGGAGTTGTGTGATTTTATCATTGCCCTTTAGACTTATTTGCGACAATGACAGAGTCATTGACTCGTGGTAGAACTTTGACAGTGTTATTAACTACATTTATAGCATGCCCCGCAGGGCGATTTTATTGGGATCGAAATGCAAGTAACTCAACATTTTTTGCGCATTGAGTGTCTATAGTTTAGACTCTGGTTAAGCCATATTATTATTGAGAAAAAACTGCATCGACCTTATACATGCAGTTTCCCATAAAAAATTAATTTTTCATGTCGAAATACGATTCTATTATAAATGTTAACTCTTCTTAGTTACCCTTGCTGGTCACCTAACTTCCACAATGGTAATTTTCCTTTTAAGAATCCATAAATGTTTGGATAAAATGACGAGCCCTCAGGTTTTCAGAAAAGTTTCTTAAGTTCAGATTTGAGTCGGTCAAAAGACATACTTTTGTGTTGGCCACTTATTAGATTTTTCTTGTATTCAGTTTGTTGTTTTGTTTTGTTCATAAGCCTTTCCAGTATGACCCTTTCTTGATTTCCATTATAGTAGTTGGTGTTATGACGTCATTTGCTTGGAATACTTGACTGGGATCATTTCCTAAAAGTCTAAGCTTTTAGGTTAATGACTTGTGAGATACTGTAATATGGTTGCTTCCATGATATTTGGTTTATGACTCTTGGAGTTATGGTACCTCTCTTTATGAAAAATGATTCTGATTCTGGCTTTGTGCTTTTGTTTTACTATCTTTTTTAAGTGAAGATTTTGGCTCCACACTAGAGGGAGTAGGTTGTATTGAGACTGCTATATGTTGTTTGGAATTGGGTCCAGAAAGTCCATTAGTTGAGTAGTTCTTGTACAAAATGGACTTGTCCGTATAATTACTTGAATCTATAGTTTATCCCACATCTATTCTTATCTAACTTATACAGTAGATTTGACTGTGGTTGACAGAATTACAATGCTCTTGGGTATGATGACAAGATTTTAGATGGTTTCTATGACCTTTATGGGATCTTGACTGAGTCGACCTCTGCAAGAATGCCTCCCCTCGTAGATCTGCAAGGGACGTCAATCTCAGATAGTGTCACATGGGAAGCAGTCTTAGTCAATAGGGCTGCCGATTCTAATTTGTTAAAACTTGAGCAAAAAGCTTTAGAGCTGGCAAGCAAGTCAAGATTAGAAATTGAAATAGTAGCAAATGGTAATTTGGTGCAGAAGCTTGCCGTATTAGTGGCTGACTATATGGGTGGACCGGTTGCAGATCCTCAACATATGACAAGTGCGTGGCAGAGTCTTAGTTATAGCTTGAAATCAACCCTTGGCAGCATGGTTTTGCCACTTGGTTCTCTGACCATTGGATTGGCACGGCACCGTGCATTGCTATTTAAGGTACTTGTTCCACCAGTTTCTGTTATGCACTAAATGTTATTTAAGAACAATTCCATGCTTAGATGGTTGAAGTCTTCAGCAACTTAATTATCATTGAATGATATTAAGAGAATCAATGCCACTATATGCTTTGAGGTTTTCGTTGATAATCCTTTTTTTTTTTTTTGAAGTTCTGGATTAGGTTTTCAAAAGTCCTGGTATTTCTAATGAATTATTGCTATATAATAAATATAGGTTTTAGCTGATTGTGTGGGTGTTCCTTGTCGGATGGTCAAAGGACAGCAATACACGGGTTCTGATGGTGTGGCAATGAACTTCATCAAGATTGATGATGGAAGGTAATTGCTATTAAATTTGCATTTTTGTGATGTAGGAAAGTAGGAAGGATTGTTATGATACAGTTCTTGTTGCATCGCTGTTACAACATGTGAATAAATGCTCATAGGGATTGCTTTTCTTGTTCCTGTTATGAGTACCAAGGTATTCTTTAGTCAATGCTTCTGCTGCCTCTGATTGTTCCAGAGTAGAATTTTAATTTATTATTAGTGCCTTCCTTTTGTAATATTTGTTATTCTATTTTTAAAAAATCCTTAAAAGGGGTAATATGTGAATGGTGCCTCATTCTATGTGCAACTCTTGTAAGTTTGCGCCTATAAGATGTTAATTTGAATTTCAGGGAGTACATTGTTGACCTAATGGCTGATCCTGGAACACTTATTCCAGCTGATGCAACTGGATCGCATGTTGAGTTTAACGAACCTATATTTTCAGCCACTCCTACAACAGGAGTTGATTCGTCTCCTGCAACATTGTCTGGCAGAGGTATTGGAAGTTCAATGGAAGGAGCTTCAGACTCTGGGGCATTGGACAATTCAAATAAATCAAAGCAGTTTGCCTATGCAGGATCTGAAAAAAGCAGGCCCGCTCCTGGCAAGGAAGAATCAAAAAGACACTTGTATACTTTCAAGAGTCCCGTCAATGTTGAGAAGATTGCGCTAGAAACTCCCAGTAGGCCTAATTATACACATGGACATGCAAGATCACCTTCTTGGACTGAAGGGATCAGTTCCCCTGCAGTTCGTAGAATGAAGGTTAAAGATGTTTCACAATATATGATGGATGCTGCCAAAGATAATCCTAACTTGGCTCAGAAGCTTCATGATGTTTTACTTGAAAGTGGTGTTGTTGCTCCTCCAAACTTGTTTTCTGAGATTTATAATGAGCAACTTGATGCTCCATCACTGACTGAAGAAAAAGACGAACCTAAACAGGAGATTGTCCAGCAAGAAACTCAGGTTGCTGATAACCTAGGCCCTGTTCAAATTTTGCCTCCTTTGCCTCACTACAGATTTCATCCCAAAGCCAGTACCAGCAGTCAGCCTGAGCCTTCTAAGCCTGTAGAAGGTTTAGGGGCCAACCTTACTCTTGATGCAAGGGAAGCAGCTGGTCAGCACATACCATCACAAGAAGAAGCTGGTCCTGTGAAATATGGGAAAAATGTCCCAGTTGCTGCAGCAGCAGCTGCTGCTGCAGCTGTTGTTGCATCTTCCATGGTAGTTGCTGTGGCAAAGTCAAGCAGTGACTCAAAAATTGAGCTTCCTGTGGCAGCTGCTGCAGCTGTTGTTGCAACCACTGCAGCTGTCAGTAAACAGTATGAGCAGGGAAGTCGAAGTGATGGAGATACAGATGGTGTTTATGAGCCAAAGGGTAGTGGTGATGGAGAGCATGTTAATTTAGGGGAAAACACAGGTGAGAGAATATCTGATAAATCAGTAAGTAATGAAAGCACAAAATCTGATCCTGCACTAGATGATGTTGCTGAATATGAGATTCCATGGGAGGAAATGGTGCTGGGTGAGCGTATTGGACTTGGTATTAACTTTACACTGTTCTTTGAAATTTATTTACATTTTTCTGCCAGATGTTATGAAGGTGTCAATATAAAAATACCAACCTGCGTCTATCTGGTTTTACCTATGAGGATTTGATTTCATTTATGTGGCATATGTTTGGTCTACAGGATCATATGGGGAGGTGTACCATGGTGAATGGAGAGGAACTGTGAGTTTCTTTGACTTTGACTAATTGGATAATTTGTAATCTTGGCTTTTGGTGTGCAAACTATTTAGACTAAACTGCAGCAGCTGCACCCTTGTATATGCATGTGCAAGTAGCTAAAACATTTTTATAATTGAATGTGTTCCTTATATTTTTGTACTTCATTTTTACTCAAACCTAAGCGAAATGCTCAGCAATATCATTGACAGACTTTTTGCTAACTTGGCTACCTCGCAATCATTTTCACATATCAGCATTTTCGGTCTTGTTGGGTAATTCAAATATTAAGGGCACATTGCCTTTGGTTTGTAGGAAGTTGCTGTAAAAAGGTTTCTAGATCAAGATATATCTGGTGAATCACTTGAAGAATTCAAAAGCGAGGTACACTACTTTTCCTTATGTGACATCTAGTCTTATACTCAGACATGCTTCCAGTTGATTGGCTTTTCACTGGCTTTGAGGATAACAAGATATCCAATGCTTGCCTATTTTAATCACTTTCAGTGACATTATTTGTCTGTTCTATAATCAAATATTCAATAGCAGTGACATTTTTATTTAGATTCTAAGCCTCTTTCAGTTTTGATCAATTTTGAATTTGTATCATTCTTCATCCTCTTTAATTCCTATGATGTTTAATTCTAATTTTGGAAAGAGGTAGGACGGAATTGTATTTCTGTATTTAGTCTTAGAGTATGCTTCATAGACTAGATGGGGACCCTTTTAGTCACGATCTACTATTATTTGTACATTTTATTTTCAATTTGAAATTGTATCTTGTGTAACTTATTTTACCCCATTATTCTAACCTTCTTATTGTGTTTTATGTTTCCTATACATTGGGTCTGAACTAGGATCTGCTTTGAACACGGCATGTAAAATTTTAAATGACTGTGAGACAGATTTTATCATATTAATAATAATTGTTTTCTTGTCATGATTGACTAATCCCGAATCTTCTGTGATGTGATTATGGTTTTAGTTCTGTGAAACAAGTGTTGCTTCATTTGTGATTTTGTTCCACCTTATTGGCATATCAATATGGTCTCCCTCTGAAGTGGCAGTAGTAATTTCACTGTGATGGTTGATTGTACTTATTCATATCTTTAGATGATGGAAGTGGTTGTTCAATTATGTGACAAAATGCAATAGGTTCAAATAATGAAAAGATTGAGGCATCCAAATGTTGTTCTCTTCATGGGAGCTGTAATTCGTCCTCCGAATCTTTCCATTGTTACAGAATTTCTTCCCAGGTATTTTTAAATTATTCATTTATCAAGGCAAATCATAGACTATAATATGCTAATTTGAAATTTTTAGAAACTTGACATTTTCAGCTGTGTCCTTTCTTAGAAAATGGTATAGTTGCATTGTCCAAAAATTCTTGCTAAATTACTTCCTAAATGATGTGGCATTTGCTATGCCTAACTCAGATTTTGGAAGTCATATGCAATAACTCTGGAGACTATAGATATTAATTACTGCCATGCCTTGAGTTAAGGAAATTTAGGAAGCTAACGGTAAAATTGCAATTTTCTAAGCAAAAACAGATCATATATTTTTTAATGGTACTCAGTTCATTTTATGCTGTAGATGATTTGTTTTTTTTGGTCCTTCAATACACTTGATTTTCTAATCTGCTAGACACATGTTTAAAGATATTACTATATTTTATATACCATTCTACCATAGTTTACTGAATAAGTTCTTTCTACTGTGATAGGGGCTCACAATAACTGAAAGAAATAATAGGAATAAATCTATTAAGATGATATAAAACAGAATCTCGTTTTATATTTTTCTCAATAGTCACGCTCGGGAGAATTTCCAAACGGTTTGAAAGATTATTTTATTAATTTCATGATATGCTAGCTTCAAGATTGCTAGTCATATTTATAATGCTAAATACAATCTAAAATAAAATTTAGATAACTATTTAAGATAATGAATAAAATCTAGATAACTAGATAACTAAATAAAATTTCCTAAGATCTAAAATACTGAATAAAATCTAACTAGATAAAATTTGAATTTAAAGAATTAATTAACTAAATAAAATCTGAAGAAATATGTAAAAACTAAATAAAATACTAAATTAAATGAATTTAATCCTAATTTATCTTTTGCTTCTTTCTTCTTGAATAAGTTTGAATTCTATCCGGAATCTTATCATACTGCTTGCTATGGTTGTGCTTTTGTTTTAGGGAGAATGGCTGTGAGGGCCCCAGAGGAGAAAAAATAGTAGTGAGGGTCAAAAACAATTGAAGGTTCATCTATGTACAAGTGAATTGATGAATTTGTAGTTGTGCGTGGACGAACCTTCAGTTGTTTTTGACCCTCACTGCTATTTTTTCTCCTCTAGGGCCGTCACTGCCATTCTCTCTTTGTTTTACTAATGTCTTCGTTTTTGGGCATTATTGACCATACAAATACTGAGATGCAGATCACCTTTTGCAGAGGCAGTTTGTATAGATTAATTCACCGACCTAACAACCAATTAGACGAGCGAAGGCGATTGAGGATGGCCCTTGATGCTGTAAGATTTGTTGTCTTAGTGCAGTTTCTTTTAGAAATGCTTGCCTACCTGTGATTCTCGAAAGACATAACCTGCCTCTTCTGAATATATAGGCTCGAGGAATGAACTATTTGCACAACTGCTCTCCAATGATAGTCCATCGTGATTTGAAGTCCCCAAATCTTCTTGTTGACAAAAACTGGGTTTTGAAGGTGTCATTCTAAGCCCTTGCTCTTATTCCTTGATCACATGATCAATTCTCTAAGTTAAGTGGTATGACTATTTTTTCTGTCCATTAAATAGGTTTGCGATTTTGGGTTATCACGAATGAAGCATAGTACATTCCTCTCTTCCAGATCAACTGCTGGGACTGTAAGCTATCATACACCTTCTTTCCTTAGCTTAATTGATTTTTTCACACTTTGTTTCTATTGTTTGGTGTCTTTATTTCTTACAAGGGTTAGCATATTTTGTCTAGTTTTGTTTACACAAATATGGCTCTAACACGTGTCCATGTTGATTTTATGTTGCTTGGGGTGTTACCTTAAGATCAATGATTACAATTTAATCGTTGGATTACTTTCGCTAGAACTCATAAGCTCTACAGGAGCCTAACAATTTGTTAGTGTCAAATGGGCACCCTTGAACATCTAGTGAGTTTGAAGACTTTTAGCAAGGAATATCTTATGTTACTCTCTTAAACTCCAAATTTAGGTTTAATAGTTTCTAACGCTATAGTGAAACAAATCCCAAGAAGTATAATATTTTAGATGAGGTGTAAAGGATATATGTGAAATTGGATGAAGTTGTAGGAATTACATGGAGATTAGGATTATGGTTATCTTGGTTGAATTAGCAGGACTAAGTTAGTGGGTTGAGTTTTATTATTATAGTATGTTAAAGTCAACAATGGGTTAAAGTTCTATTATTGTGGTATATCAGATCTGTTCTAGGAAAGTTGCACATGACTTGTCATTATTACCTACAATGTTCTTTCTCACAAGACCGAATCATTTTGTTTGATGAAGAGTGCATGTAATTGGATATATTAGTTACTGTTTGCTGTATAATATGTTTCAGGCGGAGTCGATGGCTCCAGAAGTGTTAAGAAATGAACCTTCAGATGAAAAGTAATCTTTTTTTCTTCTTTAGTTATTATTAATATTATTATGATTTCAAGGAGAGGAGACTGCCATTCTGATCCTTCATTTTTTTCTCCATTCCTTTACTTGTCATTTCCATGAATGCTAGCTGAACGCAATTTGGAAGTAATTTAATCCATCACTTTACATGGACTTTCCAACTATATATATTAGAGTCTGTTTGAGAAAGAACAACTTCACATTATACTGCCTAGTTGAAGCCATTTGCTTTCTGCTTGTGCATAAGAAACACTTGCAAGCCACCTGGCCTTCATGCTGAGATTGAGTTGTGATCCAATATCCAGGTGTGATGTTTATAGCTTTGGAGTCATATTATGGGAGCTCATGACGCTGCAGCAGCCGTGGGGAGGAATGAATCCAATGCAAGTTGTTGGTGCTGTTGGTTTCCAACATCGCCGTCTTGACATTCCTGACAATATGGACCCTGCTGTTGCTGATATTATCTGGAAATGCTGGCAGACGTGAGTGTGCAATGCTTTCTAATGGTCGTTGCAACTTTTTCTTTATCACCCTGGATCAAACATGGGGCCTACTCTCCTTTGATTTTGTGATGTCACCGGACTGAGCCTGACCCATATCCACATCCACACCCAGACCCTAGACTTGTTATTTAATTTGCGAGCGTGGCATTTTTATTAGACACTGCATGTTATTGACAGGGTAACATCAATTTAGTCCATAAAATAATTTCCATCCTTTGGCCACACCAGGCCACCAGTTTCAGACAAACCCAGCAATATGATACTGCCACTAACTTCATTGATGATTATCAGAGTTCATGCTGGGATCGTATTGATGAGATCCTAAACTTGGTAGTCAAATGATGGTAGTTATCTTTTGTAGACTAAACTGATAGAATATGCATCTCTTATGGACCCAAATGCTGGTTTACTTTGATTATTAAATGCATGAATAATGATTTCTTTCTGCGACAGCTACATAACTGGATAAATGACTTTTGCATTGTAGAGATCCAAGGCTGAGACCCACATTTGCCGAGATCATGGCTGCACTGAAGCCGTTACAGAAGCCGATTGTCGGTTCTCATGTGGCCAAGTCTGGTGCACAGTCAAAGCGAGTTGCAGAAGATGCAGCAGGATGAGGAGACAATTGTACAGCTAACTGAATATTTGTTCATTCTATTGCCAAAGAAAAAAAGGGCAAGCTGTAAAGTATCACGAATGAGCATAAAAGAAGGGGGGAAAAGATGAAGATTGATTGAAGACCATGACCTAACATGCGTTCTCATACTAGGTTGTGATTCTTTTCACTTTTTTAGTTCCAGTTTATCTTGTGCAATCTGTGGTGCAGCCATTGTCAAGGTTTTGTCATTTGTTTGTACAAAATTCTTTTGGATATTGCAATCAATGCCTAAATTTTGGTGTGTATAGATAATTCATGTTTCAACAGAAGCTGCTGCCACATAGTTGAAGAAAAGTAACTGTGACAGAAACTGTTTGGTGCTGTCAATTGACAAACACAGATGTTGGTAAAAGTGTGTAACTTCTTTGTGAGCCTGAATCTGTTTGTGCCAAACAATGCTTGCTTCTGTTTTAATCGAACTGGCAGTGAAATTATGCAGTTTGTTCAAATGCTTGTAGAATGGTGCAATAATTTCTCCATTCCAAGTACACGACGCTTCATTTACAACGTAAATTCATTGATTCTACCTGGAAAATCTTCGTTGGAGTAATGCTGCTTTAGACAGTACTGTGATGTTGGATCTCAACTACACTGTGATTCTCCCAGAAAATCTTCATTGATCACTCTTGTTTCAAGTAGTTTTTTTCTTTGGGCCATGCTCTTTTGTTTTACGTAGTTAACTGAGGTTAAGTGTTATAATACATGTACTCAACTGTTATGACCCATGACCAACTTATATTTCTCTTTTTAAATTCCAAATATGACTCCATGAAGTAATTTCATCAACTTCAATTTCCATTGCCACGTTGAGATGACTAGAATCTGTGCCCTAGTGAGTTTGTGTTCATCTAATCAATTAGGTACAAGTACAAACCATCTTAAAAAAAATGTAATCTCTTCAAATTGGGGGACCTTATAAACCATATTTTACTTGTGAGGACGTGAGACTCATACTCTCAATGAAAGAGCTATGGTTATGGTCGTAAATATAAAAGGAGAGATCATATAAGATTAATCTTTTGAATGGTAGAACTCATGAAAATATAAAATGAGTTATTTTTAAAAGACTGATAATGATATATGGGTATAAAAATGCTAATATATTGTGTTTGTAATATTTTATTGACAAAAAAGATAACGCAAAAAGAGTTTTTATTTCCAAATAATTCTATCCATTCTTATTTTGCATGTAATGGATGGGATTCTGTCAAATGCAGATAGGGTGGGGACAAAGGCTAACCAGTGAGTAAAGTGTGAAATATTTCTATCTGCATTTTGTATCTAAACTCTAAAATCTCCAACATGGCTTCCTTCTTCGTTTCTCCAACCATTTTCTCCATCCCCACCACAAGAACTCATCACATTTCTTCATCATCTCCGACGCCACCGCCACCATCTTCACCACAACCTGATCAGCCCCAGAAATCGGCTTCACAGTTAGCCACCGAGTCATCTGAGGAATCAGTACCGGGCTCTCTAAAAGCACAGCAACAGAAGCCTGTTAAACCTGTGGCTCCTTCTTCATCTTCATCTTCTACTTCCGGGACTAAGGTTGATTCCACAGATTGGGTGGCCACCTCTTTAACAAGAAGGTTCGGGCTAGGAGCTGGTCTTGCTTGGGTCTCTTTTCTTGCCGTTGGTGTTGTCTCTGAACAAATCAAGACTCGCCTTGAGGTTTCTCAACAAGAGGCTAACACGAGGTCTGTTTTCTATTCTGCAAATTATGGAATAGATTTAGAACTGCTTTATTTTTTCCTGCAAATTAGCTTCCCACTATTGTCAATCAACGAGAATGAGACTTTTTCTTGGACGCTGTTGATGACGACGACATTGAGAAAATCTGCAAATTATCCACCAACAATGATCGTTTTCAACAACTTTCCTGGAAAATTAGCAAATTATACAATATATTTGGGAACTCTCTTCAACTGATGAATAGAACCCACTTTGGAAAAACTTACAAAAATGGTACCATATTTGATGACAAGACTCTGGCATTGATGCATTTACAGGACAGTAGAGAAGGAGGAAGAGGTGGTGCTTCCTAACGGCATTAGGTACATACGTCTTCTTACTCTTCTGTCACATCTAAATTTGTGAAGACAAAATAAAGTGCTTTGAACAGGTCATAACTATCTCAGTCACTCGAGGACCAAAAGAAGACAATTTCTGACAAAATAATTAGGCCTTAAAACCTGTCATAAAGTTATGAGATGAACTGAAGGAGTTACATAAACGAACATAACTGTACAGGAAACACTGTTTTCTCACTCACAAATCGTCCAAAACTGCTATAAAAGGGAAAATCAATCACGTACTTCCTATACTGAAATTTAGCATGTCCATCTCAGTTCCTCAAGTTTTGTAATCGAGTTGCAAAGTATAGTGACCAACAGATTAAATGGCTGAAACTTGAGGACTGAATTGTGTCAAGTTTTTTGAACTGAGTTGTGACCGATGAGTCAGGGATCAAATAATTATTTTGCCACTCTCTCTCTCTCTCTATACATGTATATAACATATACAAAATCCAGATGAGGCGCATGTTGCAGACTTTTTAGCTCACAAACTGTAAAAAAACTGTGCAGATACTCCGAGCTTAAGGTTGGGGGAGGAGCAACGGCAAGGACAGGAGATTTGGTGGTGATAGACATAGAAGGGAAAGTGAAAGAAAGTGGACAAGTGTTTGTGGAGACATTTGGGAAGGAGAAGAAGCCATTGGCTCTGGTGATGGGTTCAAGGCCTTACAGCAAGGGACTGTGTGAAGGGATAGAGACTGTGATAAAGTCCATGAAAGCTGGAGGGAAGAGAAGGGTCATAGTGCCTCCTTCATTAGGGTTTGGAGAGGACGGTGCTGATTTAGGGAATGGAGTTCAGATCCCTCCTCAAGCAACACTTGAATATGTTGTGGAGGTTGAAAGAGTTTCCATAGCTCCTGCTTGATTAAGTCACATTTCATTTTGGAGGCTGAAATGTGTATCAGAGTCATGCCTGTAGTCTAATGTTCATTCTCTTTCTTCAATATAATATTCTTTTACTTGTTAGTATTGGAATTTGGTATAGAAAAGGCTTTGATTAATTACTCATGAAACCAGACATATTCAAAGGACTAAAATCACAGCCTAAGAAGAAAGCCTTTCTTCAACTTGCAAATATAAACATCTTTTGAGGTTGCAAGAATCTGCTTGTAATTCATGGGCCAATTTTGCTATCCCTTGTACATAAATTTCAGGCTAATGAATCACTCTATCAACAATCTTCCAAGTTGGAACTTTCTATAAATGGTTGACCATACCAGAATAAGTATGGTCACCATTGGAATCTCTATTTAGTAGATTCAAAGCAAATAAGATACTCCATGGTACTTTCTGAGCGGTTGACTATCCAATTTTCATTGTTACATTTACCGAGTAATAAGGCAATATAACAACGTACATGTATTTATAGACTTTTTTTTTAAGAACGAAAATTTAGATGAGTTAAACCTCCAAACCATAACTGAGACATATCTTAAAGGCATATTCATATGCAGAATTTATATAATAAGATGCTTGTACTCTACAAGTTAAAATTTTGGATAATTTCTCGTACTTCATGTAACCTGTACTTTGCGTAACGTGTGGAAACATCCTTACTTTTATCTTTAGTCAATAAAAATTATTAATAATATCAAATATTAAATCTATAACAAATTGCATTATTAATAAATTATGAACAGTATGATTTCTTTTTGTAATTTTACGTTATACACAAAACCATACTTCGTTTGGTCTTATTTATAAGGTAGAGAGAAAAGAATTTTTTGTCCTATTTATAAGTTATTAAATTTTTATCACAAATTTTTTCTTTTATCCTCCATTAAATATTAGAGAGAGAAAATATGTTATTAAAGTATGCATATTTAATATGGGCAAAGTTGAGAATTTATTAAATTTTAAGATAAAGTTAATGAGTTTTAAGGTTTTCCTTGATATTGGCGAAATATGTTGAAAGTGACTTATAAATAGGAGCAGAGAAGTATTATTTACACACACATATGTGCAAAAAAATATTAGTTATATGTACACATACAGGGTTGTCAAACTCACGATGGGAATGTAAATTCAAATAATAAACTCATAAAAATTTACTTGTATTAATAAATAGTCATTAAAAATATAGAATTAAATAATTAAAATATAACATATGTTCTTAATTTAATTTAAATGTATTTTAAATATAAATTATTGAAATTAAATTCATCTGCATTGGTAGATTATCATGTTCAACATACAAATTTTAAAATTAGCACTTATTTTTTGTATTCCTTATTTTTCTTTTGTATTAATATTAGTTCTCGCTTTTTGACTTTTACTTTTCTTTAAATTAGGTTCTACAATTTCTATAAATTGAGTTGTAAACAGTATATACTTCACTTGTTCAACTTGGTAAGAAATTGATGAGTTTAGTGAGTTTAACTAAATTTGCATCTCATTTGAGTTTATGAGTTAGTTGATATAATTTTGTAAGTTAGATACGTAAGAACATCAAATTTAGAGAATCAACTCTTGAGTTTAATTAAGTTTAAATCTAGTTCAAGTTTATAAATGAATTGATATGATTTTGTAAGTTAGTAATTACAAACAATAAATTCATAGAGTTAATTTGAGAGTTCAACAACCATGTGTGTGTGTGTCTATATATACATACTCCTCCTGTTAAAAAATGTATGATATTTTTAACCGAATTTTACCTTTTAATAAAATAATTATTTTTTTTTCAAACTAACCCTATCTTATTACAATTATTCTTATGTAAGAGCGTGTTTTACCTTATAACAAATATAAAATGATTTATTCAATAAAAATATTTTTTAAAAAAGGCAATTATTATATTTTGAAAGATTAAAATTATCTTTTATGTTTTAACATTTAACTTTTTAAAAAATATTTTATATTTTTAAATGAAGAGAGCATATATATAAGGAGGTCATAGTACTTTTATTGGCCTGAAAAAACGATAATCCTTTTATCTGATTATTTTCATGAGACTATATGTAATTTTTTAACAATTAGTTCTACACTTCGCACCTCACGGAATGTAAAGTTATAACTTTGGAGCTCATTACTATTTAATTGATATATATATATATATATATATATATATATTAAGATACCTTATAGAAGAGAAGAATGATCTTTATTATAAGTCACTTAATAAAATATTAATTAATTTTTTTAATATTATTTTTATCAAAAATTATTAATTATAAGAGGGAACGTGGTATGTATATAAAATTTTTTTATCTTTAACTAAAATTAATAGCTTAACTACTTTGTTTAATTTTAATAAGTGGTTATAAGTATTTTACTTTATTTTTATCTCAGATACATTGATGATTTCGTGTGGAATATTGCAGGGGATCAAATCAATCCCAGTTCTGAGTTAGATTAGATGAATGCAGATAGAGATTAGAAAAACCAAAAAAAAAAAAAAAAGTTCATTGGGAGAAAGTGGAAAGTGGGGGAAATTAGAAAAAAGAAAGAGCCAAGACGGCAGAACACTGTGAGAGGAGTGGATAACGTTAGCCGGCTGGCTTGAAAGAGGTAATTAGAATTTAGAATCGCTGGCAATGGAAATTCCTTTCATCCTCATGACGCCTACGTGTTCAAATCTCTACCTCAAACATTCCATCTTCTTCTTCTTCTTCCTCTTCCTTGTCAACGTTTGCTTACACACCTAATTGTAATGGGCTTTTCCTTTTTGAAACACCTTGCAAAGCAAGAAAGCTAACCTTCTAAACCACTAAGAAGTAACATCATGGGTACTGTTATCGACTCCCATTTTCTAGCCCTAACTGCCATGGTCACTGTAACTCTCTATCCATAGCTACTTACTCCCGCCCAACTTGTGTTTTTCGTGAAAGTTGAAGTTTTTTGGTTTGATTGCGTGCCTTTTATTTTTCTTTTTCTTTTGTTGGTTTCCTGCTCCAGATCGGATATCAGTTTATGTTTTTTGTGATCACCGCACTGCTCAAATTCGACAAAGTCACTGATTTTGCAGGTACGGCAGTCTTCTTTTCTGGTGTGGTATTCTAATTTTAATTCTTACGGTTCAATTTGATTGTTTTGTTACTGGGGAATGAGAAGAAAAAGATAAGTACGTTGAAATTCAAATAATGTAGAATCAATGAATGAACTCTGCAACCAGTCATGCCTTACATAATCGTTCAAATAACTCTTTTTCTTCTTTCTCTTGAAAGGAAGCACGAATTTCATAATACTTGCTATATTGACACTCGTGCTGAAAGGAACATGGTATTTTCGACAGGTATCATTATCTTTTGGTGTTTATCTGGTGAATTATCATATTAACTCCTACCATTTGTCCCATGATAAATCGCTCTCTTTTTCAGGTGATCCTGACATTGCTTGTTGTATTATGGGGTCTTCGCCTGGCGCTTTTCCTCTTATTTAGGTGTGTTACATATGTTACTGTCAGCAGAAAAGTGAATGATGTCTTGCATAGTTCTCTTGTTTTTGAAGTGAGTAAATTGAAGAGGAATGAATTGGTGGCTATAGCCTATAGGGTATAAAAGATAAATTGATTTCAAATTCTAAAGTTCCCATTGAACAAGTCTATTGAGTTATTTATGTAGACTCTTGGCTCCCATTGTCCTAATTATGTATGACATGTCGCATAAGACATTAATCAATCCCACGCAACATAATGTAACGTGTCAGACACTCTTTTTAATCCTCAATTTCTTGGCAACCATAGGGCAATTCGTGATGCATAATTGCAATCGTGGCAAATTATTGTGGGATGTTTAAGTAATTAAGTTTTGTTTAACATGTGAGTTCTCTCCCATTTTTCAAGGCTAATATTGTGTCAGCCTTTGACATAGCAAATGGCAAGCATCTTAACATTAAACCATTATGCGTTGTAGTGTTTCTTTGTGGATGTCTTATCATATTTACTTTCCAAATACTCTTACTAGGATTTTGCAATGGGGAGAGGATCGCCGTTTTGATGACATGCGTAGTAATTTGGGAAAATTGGCAATATTTTGGACATTTCAGGTTTCTTTCTTCCCCTATGTTTGAAATGGTATATTGACCACATAATTTGTAGTCTAATGTATTGTGGGATTCTCTTTTAACTAATGCAGGCTGTCTGGGTGTGGACTGTGAGTTTACCTGTTACAGTGATCAATGCTAGTGACAGAAATCCTTTTCTACGGGCTGAGGATGTAGTGGGGTGGATTATGTGGTGTGTCGGTTTTATAGTTGAAGGTACAGCGGATCAGCAGAAGTTGAGATTTAAAGGATCACCAGAAAATAGAGGGAAATGGTGCGATGTTGGACTCTGGAAATATTCCCGTCATCCTAACTATTTTGGTGAGGTTAGTGCCGCCGCCACTATTCCAGAATTGATGCTCTGCTGCTGGATGTTCTTTTGGTTTTACAGTTTTGTGATTATACCTTTTAGCTGACTATATTCTTATTGTGGTAAATATTGCTTTGCAATAGACAATGCATATTGTCCTTGTTGATCTTGTAATCTTATATTTTGGTTTCTCTTCTAGTAATATTTCTTATTTCATTGGAAATTCCTGTGGAAAACTAACTAGCTGAACTTCTTGAATGCTTAACCAGATTCTGCTTTGGTGGGGAATTTTTGTGGCTTCTGCACCAGTTCTGGAGGGTGCTGAATGGTTGGTAATCTTGGGACCGATCTTTCTCACGTTGTTGCTTCTTTTCGTCAGTGGAATTCCGCTACTTGAGGTTTGCCTCTTGCCTCTGACATATTCAAAATGGTGCTGCAATTTTTTGACATAGCTGATGGATGATTGAATTAATGGAAACAGGAATCAGCAGATAAGAAGTTTGGAAACGTGGAAGCTTATCGGATATACAAACGAAGGACAAGGTTAGATTTACCTCATGTAATTATTTGCATTTAAGTGTATCTTAAAGGAGAGACAACTAAGCTAAATCCTTGTTTCAGCCCTTTAATTCCGCTGCTTCCCTCTGTCTATGGAAGCTTGCCCTCGTGGTTCAAAACATTTTTTCTCTTTGAATTTCCACTCTACAATCGTAATCTTCCTCAAGAAGGACCAAACTGGTGAGTGACAATTTGCTTTTACTTGCAAAACATATGTTGGCTAAATTCTTTGTGCCCCCTTTTCTCATGGTTTAATGAGTTGGGATTTGTTTAATTGACCTTAATGTTGATTGTATATGATATTATGCTCATTAATTTACTCAAGTGTCCAACATACTTGAAGAGAGACAATTGCTAGACTTTATGATAATGGGACATGGACCATGCTGTTCCAGTCTGTGTTTCTGCACAGTTAATATATATATATATATATATATTTTGAAAGGCATCTTGGATTTAATTCATGACTGTTCTGTGTATTAGAATATCTTGAAGCCTTTACCTTACAGGACACGCTTTTTAAACTGCTCTGAGTAGCTTTTGCTTCAACTTGGTTGAGATAAACTTTTTTCAATTCCTGTTTGGGTTGTGTGTGGTGAGGCAAATTTTTCAGTTGCCTAATCTCGTGTCATATGTTCTATATATATATAGCGAGAAAATTGGGCCTAATGCTTCCATGACCCATCAATATATTATGTAAAATAATATCACCTATTGCTCCTCATTATTTATTGAAGTGACATTTCTTACACCTATGGATATTGTATACTTCTACGGGTTGTGTTTATTTCATTTTTTTTTTAATTTGACTACCATCATACATGTCTGGGAAATATTTCTAGTCTAAATAACTATCTATATATAATATAAAATTTATAGGGAGCCATACTATTCATAAGTTATAAATAGTGAGTACGGCCCCACTAATTAGTTATTACTAGAACCAGAACATTCCCTGCACTGTTATGCAAGGAAATGAAAATCCACGTTTAAAAAAAAAAAAAAAAAAACTCATCATTGCGAATGGCTGAAGGCAGTAAAACAGAAACTGCTTACTTTAGATTTTGTATATTAATTGATGCTCCTTGCCTTTATGTTATTATGTGGGAGTCGTGAATCTTGATGCTGCAAGTTATTGAGCAAAGATCGCACTGCAGGATTGTTTGGTTTGGACATATTGCAACTATTTATAAATAATTTTTAATAAAAAATGCCTGAAGTTTTTTGCTGTATCGTAGTATTCATGGCATCATTAGGTGTTTTATTAGTTTGTTATGAACTTGATATGCAAGGTGTAGAACAAGCAAAGGGCAAGGTGGTGATGCACTGAAGATGGGTTAGCACTTGGTTGTTATTCTTGTTGAGGCTCTGATTTTCCACTGAACTTGAAGCTGTCGTGGTTCATCATTATGGGTGCTCTGAATCTAAGGTGTCCTTTAAGGGCACTCTGTAAGTTGTGATGTTTAGCTCGGTGCACTTTAGACTCTTTGACGCTCAGATAATTCAATGAAATATTGGATAGTGATTTGTTTGTGTAATGTAATCGATTATTCACCAATTCATTTGCTCAAGCCTGCTGCAGCATTGGCTACTGTAGAGAATTATCATGTAAAGAAATCAATTACTAATAGATTCTTTCTGACTGGGGAGCAGCAATTTGAAACGGGTGTAAAATTACTGAAAAGCCCTTTGACTATGTTAACCCTCCTTTGACTAGTTTGACCATTGGTGCCAGTAGTTGGGCCAATGCCATTTGCAGCAGTTTGACGGCCTATTAATAAATTAATATTACAATAATAATGTGATAATTTATTAAAAAAATTAAATATTGTTTCTATGTTTTAGATGTCTTCGATAATGTAGGTGTCAACTTGTGACTTTTACATGTCATCTAGTATGTTTTTCACATAGGATCATCAAATATTATATATTCATTTAATGTTTCCCCACTTTCACTGGTTACTTCATAAAATTTCACAGCTCTTCCTTTGCCATTTTTGGCCTCAAAATAAAGCGCAAAACTTTCATTTTGTGATGATTTACAAGTTCCCCTGTAACATTTGTAAGAAAAATGAGAAATTTGCAATTGATGTGGTTTTTACACGTTTAAACTTTGTGTATAAAGAAAATGCTTACTTCTGTTGTGATTTCATTTAACTATGACATGTTTGATGAATGCTATTAAGTATTGTTAGGTTTGCCTCGTCAGAACTTGATATGTTTTGTTAACTTTGACCAGTCACATGGTTAAATTGTTTGCAATTTCATGCCAATGTGATTCTTTTAATTAGATTTGAATTTGAACCAAATCTCTTATTTAGACAACTAAAAATTTATGGATAGAAGTTTATCCAACTTCAAACTTTATTTTAATTCCTTTGTAATTTATAAACTCTTATTATTTCAAACCTCCATATGCACTGTCAGAGTATTGCTTAATAATAATAACCTCTCTAACTATTCAAACAAAAAATTTTAAATGTGTATACTTAAGATGTGGGATTTGAAATCCAAATTGAAAATTCAAATTTATGAATCCAAATGCTAGCTAAGATTAGTTTGCTTGTTGGCTTCCATTTGATGGTTGCTATTAAGATTTATCGTGGTGCATCTTGATTTCTGGTTGAAGATGATAACGATTTTGTGCACTGTGAATGTTATTACGGGTTGTTTTATATATATCAAGCAATCTATAGATAATTATTTGCAGGTAAGCATTTTTTTGGCTGAAGACGATATTGATTTTATGTGAAGCAAGCCACGGCCACCGCAACTTACTCATATTTCAGTTCTTCATCATGTACAGCGTCTTTTTCATGTCCATGCATCATTACTATTTCAAATTTCAGGATCTAAATTCTAATTTCTAGCACTTTTTGTGTGCGTGTATATATTCATGATTTTACAACTGGGATTTCATTTTGCTCGAATACATATTAAATGTTTCAGTTTTTTCAGTGAAGAATACAATGCCCCAAAATCTTAAAGGAACCAACAATCCCTTCTACCAAATGAAGTTCCTATGTACTGTTATAATTGCTTTTTTGTACTATAAAATGGAGATTCATCTCACCTTTCCTGGGACTTCACTAATGTTTTGAAACCCAAGTCACGTGCTTGCCTTTGTCTTTTCTTTTAAAAACATGTTGGACTGGACTAGGCCTTTAACATGGTCCAACCCAGCCCATCCCATCTTGACTGGCCCATGGGCTGAGGTAACCTTGCTGAAAACCTAACTAGGCCAGACCCGACCCCAGGCTAATGAGCAGCTTGGCCAGTCAGGTCCATGTTCAGCCCTATGTCCCCACATAATGTAATATGCATCTACAAGCATTTGCTTTCATCATGATACTCACGGGGGTGTTGAACACTCAATGCAATGAAGACCTCCCAAAAGGTGAGGCAAGCTAAGCCATACAAGGAACAAGGCATCGTAACAAAATCATGCTCCAGTGTTGTTAATATTTTCCAGAGATATCACAGCGCCAGATCTACCCTCGTTGGAAGCGCCAGAATGAGACATGAAAATGTAAAGCACCCAGAAATGAAGGCAAATAACGTAAACCAAAGACCATAATTTTGCCCTCGGATTCCTTCTCAGGAAAAGGGCGCCAACCACGAAAACATGATCTAACTGTCGAAGCAGTGACACCAACTGTTTCTTGCCTGAACGATACCTCTCTTGTAACATAGGCTTCAACTTTGAATTAGAGAGTTGCCATATCCCTGATTCCAAGTCCATTGACGTGGAGGCGCTTGACATGTTTTCGTCCAGCAACCTTGACACTGTCTGCCAAGTTGATTAAGAAAATTGAGGATTAAAGCATATCCAAATTTCTGAGAATTTGCAGCATGATCTTAGTTGGCAACATACCTCGATTCTAAATACAAGACTCGCTTTCTCTGAGGAAAGGGCTTCAACCTGTCCAGTAGCTCTTATTAAATAAGATCTCTAAAAGCAGCACAATTTCCAGCTAAGATATAAAGTTGCTCTTAAACGGTTCTCAATACAAAATATGCAAAATGAAAGAATAGTTTGATACATCAACGGAAAAGAATTTAATGTATAGGTCCTAGGACCCAAGCCAATAAGAAAATTAGAACATTTCTACAGCTTAGTTCCTACAAGAACTCCATAAAGAAGCCCATGTAATCGATAGAAAAGCAGAGCAACAACTCATGCTCGCTCAGGAGTGAATAGTGATAGCAATGCGATCCATCTCTGAGCAGTTTCAATTTCAACTAATAATTATGTCATACCAAAGCTTTTCACTCCCATTCTTATCATTATTTCTGCTCAAAAGAATTAGGTCAGCATAATTTTTTAAGGTTTTTAATCAAGAAAGAAAATGTACGTATCTCTCTGTAGTCTTTGCAGAACAACAAAATCTGCTTAAACAAAAACCAATTCAATTAATGAAAAATAATACTTCAGGTTAAAATCATGAAAAACATATGTTAGATGCATGAAAGGCACACCTTGGCTTGCTTTTGAATTAAATGATCAGTCATCTGACTAAGCCTTCGCTTCAGCTCAACTTCAACTTCTGTCGGCTCCTCTATATCCTTTCTTGTCAATTCAATATCTGCTTCGAGTTTCCTAGCCTATAGTGAACAAGTTAATAAATATTCAGCTAAAATAAATCACATTAGCAAGACAAGACTCAATACTAAATAAGCAGTATAAGAACATAGATTTTTATAACAGGAAATGGATGGGAGAAATATGGAAGTTCCAGCATAATGGAGAAACAGGAATATTTAAAGCATGGATTCTTTGAGCACTTCCTCATCTTTCTATAGTCTTATTAGATAGTCCAAATAATAAAACTATTCATTTGAATTTTGATACAACGAGAGGGCAATAGAGTTTCTAACTTACAGACAGGAAAATCTGTACAAACTATAAAACTACTAAAAGTAAGTGAATATGTTACTACTAAAGCTTCTTTTTCAAGGAAAATCCGCACACTAGTTTAAAGTTTACCTTATCTTGCAATTGTGCAACTTTATCATTAATGAAAGAATACTCTGCCTCAAGAATTTCTCTCTCAAATTCAACCCCTTTCAAAGCTAACTACAAAACAAAAACGATAAACAAATGTCAGGAATTTCATGCTAAAAAAAAGCTAACATAAAAGCTTTAAAAAGGAATATAAGATCCTCTAGACACTATTGAACTTGTGTAATCTCTTTTGATTTGTTAATGTAGCTTTCAAAAAAAAGGAATATAAGATCACACAAAAGATGACGAATAAAGAGTATAACTTGCCTGGTTTTTTGAAGATCCAGTTTGAGAAGGATTCTTTATACTCCTCCGGAGCTCTGGAAAGGTTAAAGAAGATCAAACCATCACAATGCCAGTTCATCTCAGTGCAATATTGACTTTTTTAAATCTCTAATGCATCATGCAAAAATATAAACCAGACCAATTTTCACCAGTTACTGGAAGACATATTTAACATAGGCTGGGTTCAATAGAACCACATCACTAGTACTAAACATACTCTATACCATCAGCAAAGTGCAATCCTAATTGATGCAGTTACTGAGTTGCCACAAGAACCTACCCTACACAACTTCACTCCAACCATCAATCGTGTCCCTAATCACATATGAACCACCTATTCTAATCAACATATAGTATTGCATCATCAACATGACCCAATCCACAGTGCTACTGAGATAATTGACCGGCTACACCCAAAGTCTTGCATCATCCTTCACATATGCTTGTTTAGCAATCTAGAATTAACCATCATCCAGCCATCCCTACATTCTATGCCTATTCATGAAATCATGCTTAACCGAGCTTTGAGATTTTTAGTATTTAGAACTGTAATTCTAAATTTTGTTAAGATTATCATGTAGCAAGGAACATCATCACGCATTGGAGGTGGTAGGTTTATTTGTTGACAAGATAAGGCAGGAATGGTCAAAATTGATCACTGGTCTCTCCCCACAGAGATCAAAAACTCGATGAAATTCTATCAACCGGTTCTTAACCTAAGCCCCTACTTCTTTTACTGTTGCCAGCCATTGTCACATTAGCACAAGCTTAAAAAAATTGTGAGAAGAATGAAATGAAGTCTCCTTCCATTTTCTCAGTGAGCAGACTAAACTTTTGGCTTGCATCATAATCACACCAGAATTGCACCAGCATATTCAATGGTGCAAACTTCAATTGATTGCCATCAATGTCATTCCAGCTCTTGGTCAAATTGGATATCCTGGACATGTATTCATACATTTGGAGAAAGAGTGACACAAAAGAATGTAGCTGTATATGGCATTAACATCTTTTAATTAGACTCCTCTGACATTATTTCCCTATACTTGGACTGGGATTGCAGTTCTGTGTTGATCATTATAACTTGTACCTACATTCTTGCAAAGGAATATTATTATTATTAATCAATAATCAATCATCTAATTTTGCAACATGCAAGAGTACACCAACTTGGCAATACTTAGATCCTTAATTGGCCTAAACTTTAATTCAGTATTTGCATGAAAAGATTATCATACAAGTTTTGAACGCGTTAATATGTTCTGGAGCTAAATTGAGGTACTATACAAAGCTCAGCAAATAACAAGTCCCATGAGAACAGCGTACTGTAGTGCCATTGGAAATGAGCTTTAAAAATGAAGTTCTCCAATGATAAATAATAACCTGACAATGAGTCAATATTTTAAAATTCAAGAGACAGTACCTTCATGAACCAACTCTTTTGACACAATCTGCTGTCGGAGTTCTGCTACTCGTTTAACCTGGTCCAAGAACATATAACTAGTTAATGCATTAATATTCAAATTTTCACGAGCAGTTTAAAAATGACCCAAGGATCAAGTGAGCATAAGTGTCAAAGCAAAACGAGCATATTTGGTAGATTCAACTTTATTGGGTGTGCATGTATATCATAAAATGAAAAACACACGTTTGGATCTTGAATATAAAACATATTAAATCATATCATTAAATAACAAATAGATAATAGCTTGAATTATAAAACATGGCATATATGTATATCTTCATAATATGCCTAAAATAGTCAAGATAGTAAATTCATTAATCATATAATTTCTATGCAATTAATTCTTGAAATAATATCAAAAACATCATGTTCTTTCTTTGTAAGAGGAATAGTCAAGCACTTAATAGCAACACAACATTTCCAATTTATTGCCTTTGCAAATTTTTTTTATTCATGGTATTACTATTTTGCCGCATTGGCTTGAATTTATCAACTCATCATCAATTCAACCATCAATATGATTAATCAATTCTGTGACTCGATATTGATCATACAATTTCTTTGTGATTGAAAGATCCTAAGAAGCTTAAAGGAAAGTTTTATTGCACTCTTATAAGACCAACTATGCTATATAGCAATGAATGCTGGGCTTTAAAAGGATAACAAGAGTATAAAGCTGGGGTAATAGAGATAAGGATGTTAAGATGGATGTATAGACATACAAGCAAAGATAAGATTCATAAAAATCACATGCAGAAAAGAGTGTGACATCTATTGTGCACAAAATGATTGAAAGTCATCTAAGAGGTTCAAAGAAGACCAATGGAAGCACCAATGAGAAGGGTGGGACAAACAATTCTAAGTCCTGTAAAGAAAGATAGAGGAAGACCAAAGAGAACAGTACTAAATGAAATTATTGAAAGGAATTTTTGGTTAACAATATTTCCAAAGCTTTGGTTGTTAATAGAGTATAATGGCATTTTGTAGTCCATGTAACTGACTCCACTTGATTGGATAAAACTCGTTGTTGTTATTGTTGTGGATCATATAATTTAAATTCTGGAAGCAGTAATTTAGAACAAATTAACCACTGATTCATATCATTGGCTTTGTGATCCATTACAAATAAAATTATTTGAATTGTAAGATTTTGATCGTTCTACTCGTTGCTCCGTGTGCTGCAGTTCTTTTAATATATTAGGCAAATAAAACAACTAATCTGCCTAAAAGCTGTCGAGCATTTAAGCTGCATTTCCTGCCTACACATTTTCCAGGTGACTTGAATTTTAAAAGATTCTTTAGATGTAGGAAAAATAAGGGGAGAAAGTAAGCTGATGTGTCATACCCAGGTAAGCAAATGTATAACATCCTACAAGCAAGTAGTCAATGAAGAAGAAACTACAAACCAGATTCCAATAATTTCATTGATCCCATAATTAGGGTATGCCAGAAAAATTCTAACCAAAATATCTTATAAACATACAGATGTCAACAGAGCGGCAACACTGGAAAACAATATTTGGCAGCCAAGTAACTCTAAGAAATACCCTTGTCAGTGAATTAATATTCCGAAGAGAAAAAGTACTCGGAACTCAGAAGCTTCTCCAAACATTTTCACCCAAAATTTTAAAAAATCTTGGTGGAAGTATGTCATCTGAGTAAGGATCTCAACATACCTCTACTTCAAGGTTCCACTGAGCAGCTGCAAGGGATCTGGCCAGATCAGCATTTGCTGTCTGCAAACATCCCAGATATTTATCAACAAAATCAATCGAGTCTTTCATGAAAACTAAATTTTAACATGCACATAATGATTTATTTACAGGAACATTATCTACCAAAACATGTAATAAGTTAAACAATACACAACATTAATATTTGTTACAAAAATAGCTTAATCGGGTGGAATACCTCCTGTTTAGCTAAACGTCCAAGAACTTCCATTCTAGTATTATTATGTTTTTGCTTTTCCAACTCAACAGCTTCCATTGTTTCCATCATAGTGGTTTGCAGCTGTGAAGCCTGAAGGAATGAGTGTGTAAAAATAAAGTAAATAATTAACAAAAAGAAAAAAGAAGTACTAATCAGAATAGTCTTCCTGTAAAATTGTAAAGGACTTTTAGTTCAAAAGGAGACAATTTAACACTACAATAAAAATCTCCCAATAAATAACCAAAAGGAAAGCAGGGCTGGAAATCCAAAATTTCCCTCAATAACTAATATCCTACAATCTGAAAGTAAAACATTACAATGCAGAAGAAAAGAAAAAAGAAGTTTGCAGCATTATAATATTAATAATGTTACCTCTTGTGCTTGTTGTTTAGCTCTCTCCTCAACTATTTTCTCCAAGCTTTGCTTCTCACCCTCTAATTTCGCTACCATATCCTCCCGTTCTTTGATTGCCTCTATTGCTTTAGCTGCTGCTTTCTCAGCAAGAATTCTCTCTCGCCGCCTTTTCCTTTCCTCCCTCTCATGCTCACTTTCAGAGCCAGATGAACTGAAGTCTGTATCTGAATCAGAAACATCACTTAACACGGAAGAAACTGTTCTCAAATCATCAGATGTTGAATTTCCAGAGACTGCATCAAGTCCATTCTTCCCCTTAATTGTACTTTTCGATTGACCTTGAACAATATCAATAGCCGTTTTGGTATCTCGCATTTTATTGAGTGACTGTAAAGATTCCGGTGGAGGAAGTTTGCTATAATCAACAGAGGAACCATTTTCTTCACTTTCCCTACGATCTTGTTCCATTACATGCCTTGTAGCACTTTCCGTACCACCCAATCCTTGTTTTCTTGCCTGCCTACCATCAGTTTCGGATTCTACATTTGAGTGCCTCCCAGCTGAACCTGACGAGGTAGACTCCTCCCCATCACTAGCCTTACCCTTTCCACTCAACTTAAGTTCTTTGACAGTGTCTAACTTCGATGAAGATTTTGAAGCATTGTTACCACTCTTCTGATTCTTCTTTACCTCCGGAACCAATAAATTAGAAGATAAATTCTTCGGCCTCCTATTATTTTTGTTTAAACCACGAATCGCAGTCACTCCATTACTGTGATTACTCCCAGAAGCTGTAGGCGGATTAGGCGTGCTAAGGAGTTGAGTCCAATCACCATCTGTAAGCGCAGGGACAGATTTGGGAGAGGCTTTTGGCGCACTTGCTATGTCTTTATGTGCATCATTAATCTGGCTAAAATTGGGATCACCACGCAGTTTGCCCTGATAGTTACTGTCCTCCGGCGGTCTTTTCTTCAACTGATCCTTCAAAGATACAGCACCGCTTGTCTTGGCAGTAGAATCTATCCTAGGTTCCTCAGATCGAAGCCTCTCATTCTTGCGAAGCGACTCGGCCGCTTGATTATCGATCTGAACCGTTCGTTACACAATCATACAGTGAAAATGGCATTAACTCAATATGAAAGAGAAAGTCTAAACTCATGATCTTCAGAGTAATCAGTAATTAATAAACAGGAGATAAAAAAATCGACGAATAAAATAACAAGTCCCCCATTCTTCTGAATCAAGAAACGCCCAGAATTAGCCCTCCACACCAGTTGTTTTCCGAAATATCAGAAAGGAAAAAAGAAAACGGAAGAAAGAGAGGAGAAATTAAGAGAATTGCCTGCTGGAGAATATTCTCAGCGGCTTTGAGTTTGGAGGAGATCCAATTCGCCATTATCTCCGATGTTCAGCTCAATTGAGACAGAGCCAATCAGTGAGCGCAAGCACGGAGAGAAGAAATGAATCAACAATCATAAATTCATAATCCATACACTCTCAATCGGCACATTCTGAGCGGGACGCAGCGTTTAAGCAAAGTTTGAACATTTGCAGAAGGTAGAAATGAGGAGAAGGAGACCCAGAAACGAGAAAACACTATGGAAAAGGGCGGACAGTGAACGGTATAGTGACATGCGGGTCGTGGAACATGTTTTGTGGGCCTCGACCTCGAAGTTGAGTAAACCACACAGTTTCCATGGGATGATAGGAACCCACCGACTCAGTAGGTGTAACACAGAAAGAGTTGCCCGCAGGGATAGGGATAACGAAGACTTCCTGACACGCTTGACCGACGATGACGGGCCACCTTTCCGCCTTTTCTGGGCCTCCTTTATTCGGCTTCATAAGGCCCATATAATTTGCCAAGCCCAATTAATTTGCCAATTTAAAAGCTGGACCTTCTTCCCATTCCTTTTGTTTTTATCCTTGACTGGCTGAACCCATGTTTAATTTCAGTAGGCATGATATGAAATGTAACATCATTTTTCAAAAACTTAATTTGATGAATTATTATCTATATTTATATGAGATTTAATAAAATTTTATATTGATTTAATTTGGTGAATTAGACTTGGAGAAAAAGAATGATGAATTATTAAAAAAATGTTATTTTTTAATATAGCTATCTAATTGGGTCATATTCAAATATTATCAAATTTAATTAGAGGTAGTTTTTTTAAAGATATTTTCTGTATTTGCACAGATCAAACTTGAGATCTTGTGCTTAAGTGAACATATCCCCTTCTACTATGATCAACGCCTGTTGGTGATTCATCCTCTTATTAATAACTTGATTTTCGTTCCTACCATTAACTCATTTTTAACTTCCTTGAGTTATGGACCCTCATAAAATCTAAAAAAAAAAAAACAGAAGAAGAAGAAGAAATAGGACTAGTTATTCTACTTGCCTTGATCCGGTTCTTACCTACCAATTGGGCCATGCAAATTTGAAATTAAAGTGGAAGTAAATAATTACTCATAAGAATGGCAAATAATAATAAAATTAATAATTGCTAATGGGAATGTTCTTGTGATATAAAATAGAAATATATTCCTTTCCGAATGTGGTCGCTGGACAAGAAATGGTGCTTAAAGTTAGGGCGGTTGTTCAGCACACATGCGTCTCCTTATAGTGCTGATTTCAGTGGTAATTAAATACTAAATGGTCTATTTGTTTAAAAAGCAAAAAGTGTATTCATCCTCTAGAATGTTTATTGTTGAGAGTATATATATTAAGTACTCAAGAATTGGAATTATTTCTTGAAGCGATGATATTTTTTTAGAAAGTAGGATCAATGTGTTGTACATATGAAACTTGAGAAACAAAATCATATTGTTTTATAATTCATAAATAATGTAGTTTCTACACACACATCTATATCGATAAAGAAAAAAATTGCAGTTTAACACGAACATGTATAAGGTTAAGTTTAGATTGTTTTTGGCTCCCCGTTGATTTTGGCATCAGTGTGATTTGCCTCAAAAGCTGTAAAATCACACTGGCAAATCACAAACAAACATATCGCTTTAGAAAATTATAACTTCAAATTCACATTATGTTGAAAAGATACAATTTACAGTATATCTATTATCATTAAAAAAAAAAAAAGACTACATATACTGGAAAGAAGATAAGGGAAAAAAGAATGTTGAAAAACTTTTTCTTGTACATATCACGTTAGTATGGTAAATCTAGAGAGTTGGCTTCAAATGATTATCCTAACTTACAAGAAACTTACAAAATTATGAATAGACTACCTACTAACAATATTTTTTATCTTATAATTTTTGTTTCAACTTCTTTTATAGTTAGTTACTCGGCTTTTTACTGAATAAAGGAGTCGTCTCTCTTTCTTCCCACCATTGTTTGCATTAACATGTGACTATTTGCGAATGCCGGTTTAATTAATTAAAGCATGGTGATGATGGTGAAACTCAAAAGCCAGTTTTAATTCATTCGAGTAACAATTAAGGTTTTTCCAGGTTGATATAACGATAGAAAAATAACAGAAAACATATATGGCCTTTCTCGATCTGTTACCAAAAGCTCATAACTAAAACTAAACCAGAGTTAATTAGAGTATTTTATGGTGCTTTAATTTATAACAACTTTCTTGTCCCATTTCAACTATATATTGTCTTTTGCATTCTTGCTGGGGTAGTTATAGTGTGAATAAAAAAAAATCCGATAATGAACATAATCGTGGCTAAGAAACTCAAAAACAGAGTGTCAAATTAATGCGAGTCAGTGAATGATATTTGTTATCAAGTTTCAACAAAAACGTGTCAATAGTTCTTTTTACAGATGAACCTCAAGGCTTTTAAAAAAGAATGTCATTTAGTACTATATTTTCAACTAAAAAAACTCGATGTCATCAAAAGCTTAAAGATCTTTACACAAGGCTATATATATATATATAGTGGCAAATGAAATCGAAAAATCAAATTAAAGGGATTCATAATGAATCATCTAGAACAGCAATTAGTGGGCTGTTTGGTAGCAGTAACTTCGTCAAGAGCCAAATTGATCTCCTTCCCAGAAGGAATATTGTATCTGGCAACATTATTAATGTCGTTAGCAGCTTCCAAGGTCATCTTGTGGTTGGTGATATCATGAATCTTGTTGATCATATGCAAGAAGGCTTCTTCAACGTTGACATTCTGCAATGCTGAGGTTTCCATGAAACACAGGCCTTCTGCTTCTGCCAGCTTCCTGCCTTCTTCTTCATCCACTTGTCTTGATTCCATCAGATCGGATTTGTTGCCAACCAGGATGATGACCATGTCGTCGTTCCCAAACTCCCGGAGCTCCCTAAGCCATTTTCTCACGCTCTCGTAGGTTTCCTTTTTGGTAATGTCGTACACTAGTAATGCTCCCAAGGCTCCTCTGTAGTATGAACTCGTGATTGCTCTAAACCTGCGTTGTAATAATACAATTAATTGGACATTTTTGTTTATGTGTGAGCAAAATGTAAAGTCAAAGCAATTAGACAGTAACATCTATGTATGTGTGCATGAATCAGTATATGGGCGAAAAAAAAAGAAAAGGCTTTCATATCAATATATAACACAAATTTTATAATATGATAGATTGTTCACAAGTCTTGGGATTAACATTCACTGATGATGAACAAAAGCTAGGCTCATTCTAATTTCTTACAGTACTACATGCAAGCATGACACATAATTGACAATGATTTCAAGCATTATTTTTTCTTGTATGAATAACTCTCTTGAATTATATGAATCATGTCTAAGTAATTTTTTTAAAAAAATTCAAATAACTGCTTAAATATATTACATTTTCATCACAAAAATAATGAATTAATAGTACAAGATTACTTGAATGAATTTAAAAATTAAGAGATTCATTTTCAATTTTTTTTAAAAAAATATTTTCACACCTCTAAAAAATTTATGAAATTATGTGCAATCTGACTGAGCGCAATAATTCACGATGCATTCAATTAAAGAATCTATAAGCAAGCGTGTCATAAAACCCAAAATGAAAGGATACCCAGTTTAATTATTGAAGAAAAAGAAAAGGATTTTGGTAAGTGTTCTCTTTTTGAGTTAGGTGATTGAATCTAGGATGCAATGAATGAGTATGAGGAAGGAAAGGCATTTTATAGATTAAAGGATCAAAATTAAATGAGAAGTGAAATGATTAACGAGCAGTGATGATTTTATATAAAAAAAGAAAATGCTGAAATGTAGGGTTGGTGAACAACCTTCCTTTATGTCACATGCTTCCCTCTACCCCCATTCATTACCAATATGCCTTTCTGTACTACTTTCCCCCACATAATTCTAATCAAAATAAAAGAAATAAAAACCTAAAAGTTAATTTGCGAAGTTGACAATTAAAAAAAAAAGAGCTATCGAAATTAAAATTCAACTTAAAAATTATAAAAACTAGTTGTTATTGTTAAAAGTGCTTCTTTATATTGTTGGACTTGTTAAAAAAGTGTTTTGAATCTGCTATTAATTAGGTGCTTAAATGACAATTTTATAAACTTTGGGTGTTTAGATATCATTGTCTAAAGAGTAATTTCTATCTTGGAGCTCACTAATTTAATTGCCATATTTTAGTCAAGATTTTTAATTGCCTTCAGAAAGCAATCAATGCAAGATAACGTTTTGTTAATTAAGAATGAAATCTATGGCGAGTATAGAAGCAAGAAGGATCGATCTAATAAAGAATGTAGATAGCTAAAAATTTTCTAATTTAGGGTTAGCCCTATTCTCTTGCTAAACAACTTTTAATGACATTTTCTCACTTCAATTTGATTGAATAAGACTTCTTTTTTAAGGAGGAAAAAAAAAAACTCTTCTAGCATGCATGCAGAAACAAAAAAAGAGAGTACTTGTTCTTATCTCATACTGAAGAGACAGAGCGAATCAACATGTGAAATGTTATTTTCACGAACATGTTTTTGTGTGACACCACATCTAATAAACCAACAGATACAAGTGACTTGACCTTGCAGGGACCTTTTATTGAATTTGTTTGTTACATGAAATGAAATAAATGAAATAACTGGATAATTTAATAAATGGAATATAACATTAAAAAATTGTTCAATTACCAACATAAAACTTAATTAAAATTTTCAACATAAAATTTAATTTTAATAATATAAGTCCAAACACCCAAACAATTGTATCAAAAAAAGTGAAAAACAGCCAAAACAAATATGATGGTTAAAAAAATAAAAAAATTTGATGGGCCCACAGTTTGAAAAATCCTCATCGTACATTCCTACTATCCTTGCCAAAAATTCGCCTATATATACAAAAAAAAATATACATAAATATATCAAAGTATGTCTTACTTAAAAAAAAATATATGTTTATTAAGAATTGATTATTTTACGTCCTATATATCTGGTTAAAAATAAACTTTAATTTTTCATACAGTATCTACTATCTAGCATAATGTTATCATAACCAAATTAATTAAATGTGTTAAATCACTCGTATTGTTTAAAAAATAAAAAAATTCTCATTACCTGTATCAAATATATCATTTTTAAAAATATTCTCCCTATCATATATGACTCGTTATCTTACTCATTTAAAATTGGTGAAAGGGTAAAATAAAATTAGAAGGAAAGCAATAAATAACCTGTCTTTTATTATATATATATATATATATATAAAATGACTTATAAAAACAATGTGATATGTGTGTGTTAAAATATTTTTTTACCTTATATAAAACAGCCAATGCTAAACTTGCTAAAACCGAATGGACTTGGGAATCATCGTAAATTGAGATACTTCAAAAGTCCCACGTCACTGTTCCTGATTTTTCTCTCTTTTTTTCGGTTTCACCCTAACAAAAGCAAACAATATTGCCTCCAAAACGAAACCCAACAAAACAAACCGAAAGCAAACAAACATCACTGTTAGGTTATTAAAATTTTGAATCGAAATATACAGAAGCAAGACAAGAGAAGTGGAAGGAAAATCATTATTAATGTGAACAAAAGTACAAGGAAATTCAAAATCTAATAATGATTTAAGTCAAATTAATTTAACGTCTGAATTAAGGAAACCCTCAGCGTGGAGCCCAACTTTGAATGAAAACCCGAAGTTCCCTAACTTTGTTTCCGAGAAGAAGAAACCAGAAAAATGTTTAAAAAGCCATTCAATTCCAAACTGAGTTTTTCAAATTCAAAAGGTCTTCAATTTTTATTTGATGATTCACTGAATGAAACAAAACTCATCGGCACATACGAAGATCGATCAGAAAACAGAGCTGCAGAGCAGGAAACCATCAATTAAAGATCGCAAAGAAGAGAAAGAAAGTGAATTAAGTAGGAACCTTTCTTGGCCGGCGGTGTCCCATATCTGAGCTTTGATGAGTTTATCGGCGACTTTGATGTTTCTGTAAGCAAATTCGACTCCGATGGTTGGCTTCGAATCCAAACGGAATTCATCGTTCGCGAACCTCGAAAGAAGATTCGATTTCCCGACTCCTGAATCCCCAATCAGAACGGCTTTGAACAGGTAATCACACTCCTCGTCAAATGCTTCATGATGACGACGATAATGATTAGCCATGAATTTCACTGATAAAGCTTCGAAGTAGATGAGTTAAATTCGCAGGAAAACCAGAAGCAGAAGGTAAAGAAGAAGGCAGAAGAGAAGTAATGAATTTGAAGACTAAGGAACGAAGGAAGGAGAAGCCGCGCTGATTGGCTGCAAAGTGATGATCACATTTATATATACAGTTCTAATTTCTAAAGCAATCACATTATTACCATTTCTTTCTTTTTTTTCTTTTTTAAGAAGGCATATCTTCATCTGTATAATAAAGTTTATAATAATTCAAAGTTCTTTATTCATCTTAAATTATAAAACAATTTTAAATAAAATTTTATTGATAAATTTTATTAAATTTATTTAATAAATTTATTTTTTTAAAATAAAAATATGAACTTTTAAAGATACTCATCATTTAATATATAAAAAAGAGAGTAATAAAAATTAATTATAAAGAAAAAAATAATAATATTAAAATTGGTACATTTAATAAAATCTTAATCTATCCAAAATATTTATATTTTAAAAAAAATTATTTTTAAAAGTGCCTTATAATTTGGAATGAAAGAAATATTTCTCAATTTAATATTATAAAATATTTTAAAATATCATGTTAAAAAATATCAAATTTGATGTGTAATTAATATAATTTTTCTTCATAAATATCCTTAATCAAGGTACAATTAATAAAGTTTTTAAATTAAAATAACTAATAAATGAAAGTAAACATAGAAAGAAGGGTTATTTTAAATACTATTAACTAAGTTATTAGGAGGTATAAATTAGTTAAAAGTATGCCTTATAATATTAAACAATCGAGTATTATTGCTTATAAGCCATACATGTATTTTTAGTCAGAGTATCTTTACAAGCGTAATCATTGACAAAAATATAAATTATTAAAATTTATGTTGACCAATTTAAATTTTATTAACTATTAATTTGTTTTGAAATTATTATTATTCAGTGTATAGTTAAAAATTATTTATTTTAAATTTAGTTTGTTTGAAACTAGAAGCAAATAGTATTACAATTTAATAATTAAATATAATAATACAATTTATACTATTGAAATGAAATAATGAAGAATATTATCGCTTCTAGCCCGTTCAAAAGCCGCATGAAGGATCAAATTTGTTGATAATGACAAGATGATTACATTAGAGTATGATGAAGGTGCTCGTTCGTGGGAGAGCCTACCCAGGTTGTCTCCAACTTCCGGCAAAGCCCAGTAACATTATTACACCTGTCCTTTTCGAAATATGTATTTATTTTCATCTGGGAAGTGGGAATTAATGGCCTACGTGGCAACATCTAATTGGTCCTTGTGCACATTGCAGGCAATAGGTTGGTCATGATATGGCTGCCACTAGGTTAGTTGATCGCCGTCCCACCACAATTGGGGTAAACATTTGTAGATTTTAGATTATGAAATGATCTCTAGGAGGGAAATTATGGGTGAATAGTCTCAATTTTTGAGCCTAATTAAGAAAAAGACTTGCAAGCAGTGTCATGAAAATTATATTGGATGATAAATTAAAAATACTAGTAAATATTAATTCTTATGATTCAACCTGTTAAATTGATGATTAAATTGGTAATATATTAATTGAATAAAAAATATTTATATACACATATATAAATAACATATTGTAAATACCAATAATATTATTCTTAATTTATATTTTTTTAGTCATTATATATCAAGTATTAATTTCCTCCCTTTTTTTTATATGTGTATTTTTTATTTCACTTATTTGTCCCATTAAAGCAAATGATTTTTCAATTTTTTCTGCAATTTAATCTATACAATAACGATAAAAAAAATTATGCACTCAAAATTTTACCACAACAATCTAGAATGAAGTTGACATTAATTTTTCTAAATTAAATAAAAATTATTATCATTAACGTTGGAGTAAAACGAAATATTCAAAACAACCCAATTCTATTCGAGTTAATCTTGGGTCTGTCAAAATGGTCCAAACCAAAAATATCCAAAACGGGCCCATATACTTTATATTCAGGTAGCGGGTCAACTGGTCTGACGGTCGGATTGGTCCTGCCTTAAGTAATGTTAAGCTAGTTTCCTATAGCAGGCCTAAAAAAAACTAGTTCACTATAGAAAATTGCGAAATGGGCCCATAGTTATGGGCTTGTTGCCTTGTTGACATTGTTAAGTAATGCTTTTTCGGCCCAAAAAAGACATTGTTAAGTAATGCATTTGCTTTTCTGTCATTTTTGTCCTAACTCACGGGCCGGGCTGGTTATTATTAACCAAGTCTAATGCAGGGCTTGAAAAGTACATATACTTTGCGGGGAGTCCTGAAATCCATTTATTCAAATTGATGTGTGAGGATGTAAATTAAAGTGACGCTAATATAATATTCATCTTGTTAAAAAAAAATTATTTTTTTTTTTTTTCCTGATAGAGGATTAAATATTATTGAAAAAAGATAAAACAATTGCATCAAAATATCACGGATGATATCTCTGTGACTGTGTAAAGATCAAGATAATGAACGATCCGCTGATTAGTCTCGCACAATATGGGTAAAGGGGGCGACATTGGCATTTGGGGGTGTTCTGCCTCAGTTTTCGGGCTGAGTGCACAACTGTCGGGGGCTAGTGCCGCCTCCCTGATGAGCCCATCGCAGGGCGAAACCAGTGTGATTCGTATGTGGTAAGGCTTGTCCTGAGGATTATGGGGTCTCCAGGATGCCGCACGGGCGCCGTGTGCTGCGCCAGACTCTCAGCTTGTGACAAAAAGCTCATGATACCTACCGGACTGGGCTAATTAGGACTAACCACAAGCACAGCACATGCACGATAATGAAACATGAACAAAATAACACATACTGATAAGTCCAAATTGATGCAGTCAACTTGGACCTTAAATAAATGACAAACGAGCAGTAAAAAAATACACAAACATAGTAGATCGTAAATATAGCATCAAACTCATGCTCATGAAACTTAACATGGACAACAAGGTCGTTGCATAATTGAAGGTAGAGAAGCAGAGGAAATGATGCCATTAACACAAACACAAAGTTGTTATTCACACACATGCACATATTCTAGCAACAATGAAGGGCTAAGAAGGAAGAACTCAAAAACCAATGAGTAAAAATTGTCAAGAGAAAAATATTCTGTCCTATTCTACTCTAAGAGTGATGCTAGCTAATACAAAAGAATATAATTCCAAAATTAGAGAGTCAAAGATTAATTTTATATAGTCAAACTCAGTCCTTATATCTTGAGTGTTGAACTTATTCGAACTTGTCCAAATATAAAAATTATTAAAACTTTTTTATTTTATTTTTAATTTTCATTTTTTTGAGCAAATTTCAATTTTCACATTAGAAATTAAGATTTTTCAAGCAACAAAACATAACAACACACCTTTTTTTCCCTTATCCATACTAGTCTGAAACGAAGCATTGAAAGAGTGAAAATAAAAATATATAAAGTAACCTGTTATATTTATTTTTCCTTGACATTTTCCAAAAAAGATTAAAAAATGATAGTTATTGAAATGTTAAAGTTTCATTCAAGGGTATGAAGTGTATGAGTAGTTTGTGGGTGCAAAGTAAAAATTGAAGTGAAGGCTAATTTCATTTTATTAAATAATAGAAAAAAATTTGAGTATTCAAGTCAAATGCATTTGAGTGCGATTTATTTAAATTATCTGAATAAACCCAAAATAAAGATTATTTTTTAAACTTTTAAACTTGGCCATACAATTTTTTGAGTTTATTAAAGGTGACCTATCAAACTTAGCCTCAAGTGTTGGGTCTAAGTATGACAAATCCAACAATAATTTCTATCCGTGCGTGCTGTGGGTGCATGAGGTGAGGACAATAACAGAGGATGAAGGGGAAGATTGGAAGACAATGGAATTTGAGAGCAAATATGATTTTTTAAAACATGTAATGGGCGGTAGTGGAGTGTGAGATATGAACGAACAACTTAAAAAAACAACCGAACACCCCCTTACATATATTGGGTAATGCAATTTTGGTTACCATTGCGAGCCGCTTGCATTGGGGTTAAACCAAAGGGCTTAAGATTCTTTTTAAGATTGCCTTCAAATTTTAGGATTACATTTAATTATGAGAGATGATTATTTTCTCTTTTTTTTCAATTAATGTTCTTAAATAGGGATAAATTTAAAAATTAATGCAATATTTAGTGGGTTGAACAGTATTTTCTTAAAAGAAAGAAAGAAAGAAAAATACGTCCTGTTCTATTTTTTTCTTTAAAAAAAAAGAAAAATACCAAGCATTTCATACTATTTCAAATTATTTCCTCGTTTTTTTAATGAAAAATGAGCTATAATATTACTTCAAAAATAAAACAATACACCAGAGATTTACAACAAAATTAAATAAGACAGGAACCTTTTAACTAAAAATGGTTGGCAAATGGCATTCTGAATCACTCTCCCAAGTCCCAACCCCACTTCCCCCCTCACTCCTCTGATGTTCTGATCGAATCCCAGCCTGGACGCTTTTGATGTGAGCAATAGTTTCGGGGAGAAACATCAAGTACTGTGTGCATCGGCGTATGAATTGGTGTAAAGCTCTCTAGTGATTTTTTAAATTTATAATTTTTATATCTTTAATTTATAAAACTGTGTTAGTTTATTCATAAACTCAGACTAAAAATAAATTCATTTAAACTTGTAAGTTGACTCTTTAAATTTATTGTTTTCGTGTTTCTAACTTATGTAATTGTGTCAACTCATTTATAAATTTAAATTATTTATTAATTTAATTTAATTTATTAAATTCGTCAATTTTTTTATCAAATTAAATGAGTTAAATATATATTATGTGAAACTCAATTCATAAAAATGGTATGACCTGAGTCAAAGAGAAATAAAATTCAAAAAGCAAAAACCTAATATTAATAAAAAAAAGAAATATAAAAAATAAGTTGTCCTATTTTAAAATTTCTATATTGAGTATGATAATTTATTAATATAAATAGATTTAATTTCAATAATTTAGATTTAAAATATATTTAAATTAAATAATGTCATATTTTATATTTTAATTATTCTATTATATATTTTTAATAACTATTTATTAATAGAGATAAACTCTTATAATTTTACAATCTGAATTTACGATTCAAATTTACATTTCTGCCATGAATTTATTTAAATTCACAAGCTTGACAACTTTTATTGTATGTAAGTTAATTATAATTTATTACCTTGAAATTCTATAATTATTTTACATGTCACAAAATAAAATAGTTTCTTAACCAAAAAAAATGTTTCTCAATCAATTAAGGGAAAAAAAAAAAATCTCTTTCTACCCCTATTGGCGTGGGGCTGGTATCTTTTTTAAAAACATTAATCTGCATATTTTTATAATTTTCTTCAATTTTAAATTAAATTCTTGTATTTTATTTTTTCTATTCTGAAAAATTAAAATTATTAGTACTTAATGATTAACTATTTCAAAACAAAATACTTTTAAATTTAATTGAATATTTGATTTAATATTCTGGGTAAAAGAAGCTGATTTAATACAATGTTTATAATTTTTTAAAATAAAATTTTATATGTATACAAATTATTTAGATGACATAATATAATTATATAAATTTTGAGTTAGAAAAATTATTTTATTAATTCTAAAATGATATAATCTTCTAATAAAAATATGAATTAAAGGACAAAAATGTCCTAAAAGATTTTGGCAAAGGATACCTAATATCCTCAATATTTTTTGTAGCAATATTATCTTGAAACTTAAAAAAATAAAATAAAATTATATTCCACTATTGACCTTTTCACATTAACCCTTACTCTATATTTGATTGTGAGGGAGGGGGAGGGAAAATCTCCCCTCTCCTTGTTTGGTAAGGTGGAGAGGAGGACCTCCCTTCCCCAAAATTGGGGAGATGCTCTTCTCTCCCATTAAGCTTTGTTTGGTTAAAAGGGAAGGAAGGGAAAGGGAAAGAAGGAAAGAGAAGGGGAAAAGAAAATTTTAAAAACACCTTTCCATATAAGGTGAAGGGGAGGGGAGTTTTTTTTTTTTTTTTTAATTTTTCCTCTTTTTCCCTCCCTTTTCTTTCAACCAAACAGGTTTTTAATATTTTTGTTAACTAATTAATTTACAAGTACCGCACCCTCAGTTCCCTGAGTTCTTCCTCCCTCTTTCCCTCTTCTTTTGTCAAGGTTTTGTGGCTCCATCGGCTGAGTTCTTCTTCTTCTCTACTCATTTTGTGATTATCTGAAGGCTAACCTTGAGGACAAGATTGTGGCTTCGCAAAACATATATATGGGTTTCGCGAACAAGTTCTTCCCCCACTAGCTTTCCACGATGATGGAGTTGTACACACAGCTTGTCTTGTCTCATCAATGACTTCCACTTTGTGCAATCCGTATTTGGGATTCCCACCTTCGTCGTGGAGGAAACCTTGACAACACTTCCAGGTTATTAGCCGATTCCTTCGATGAGTTTGACACTTTTAATGTTGAGACTTAAGAATGACCATCAAGGAGGATGGTGTGAGTGTGTTTGAATAGAGCGTTGAAGAGTCTAGCAGCAGGCACAGTGCAGACGTGCTCATCCTCAAAAGCGAACAGAGAGGGCAACATTTCAGACAACAGAGAAGAAGGTCAGAGGAAGAGAGAATTACATGCCTGAGCTTTCTAGGGGACGAGAGAAGCTTCTTGTTTGGAGACCCATACCCTTTTGGAAACCACATTCTTGTCCTCAAGCTTCACAGCCGCCACGTATCACTGATATCAACCTAGAAAGGCCCTGGCGTGAAGATGGTGTGGCTCTAATTGCAGGAAACAAGGAACTTGGGGGTGCCAGATTCTCTCTGATTCTTACTCTCTCAGCTTCTTAGTGGCGAGAAATTCAGGCCCTTCAATCTATCCATGTCCAATAATATCTCATGCCTAGCCACCCATCCCTGTTAAAATAATTTTTTTACAATTTATATCACTACTTTATATATACTTTTTATAATAATGATTTAAACTAATTTTTTTTTTTCATTTTTCAATTTGAAAACTTATTTTAAAAAATTATTCTCAGGTCTTTTTTGAACAATTTTTTTATTAAATAGGTCTTAGAATTTGAATATGTTAGACTATAGGTCCTGGCCAGCCTACTCTGGAGAATTTTTTAAAACATAAATATAAGTAGGTTTGTAAGAACCTATAATCTAACTTATTTAGATTTTAACCTCACTTATTTAATAAAAATTTGTTAAAAAATTTATAGCGAAGTTTTTCAGAACAAATTTAAAAATAAAAATTGAAAAAAAAAACAAGTTAAAACATCATCATAATATATTTACATATAATTGCAAAATAAAGTGTACTTTTTTAAATTAAATTATTTTAATATGAGATGATATGACAATACATGCAACATTTGGATATGGACTGAAGGGGAAGAGACTGAGAATATGAAAGGAACCGAATTTGAACTTGGGGTAAGAGAGAGAAGGGGCAGTGGAAATGAGGAAGAAGGGGTGCAACACGTGTAAATGTATCCGTCAATATATATGGGATTAACTACGGGTAAAATTACGCTCTCTTTTTCGTTTTTTGAGTGATATTACTTTAAAAAAAAAGTTTAGAATACCATCCCCCTCATAGAAAATTTTCAGGATATTTTTGTCCTAAAAAACTAAAAATACTTATATAATTTTAAAATTAATTACATAATTTTTATAATCTGAAAAAACATAACTTTTAATCCCTACATTTTACTAATGTTTTGTTATATATTCCTTCACTTTTTTTTAATATTTTTAGTTCTTATATTTTTATTTTTCGGTATTTTATATCCTTTCAAAATTTCTATACTTTATTCATTTAAGGACTTAAAATAATAAAAAATAAAAGAATAAAAACTCAAAATATTAAAAAAAAATACAATGACTTATAACAAAAGACGGAGATTAAAAGTTATATTTTTCTTTTAAAATTTGTATAATTAGATTGCCTTCTAAACATTTTATATATATATATATATATATATATTTTCATAAAAAATTAATAAAAATGTAAATAGTGTATTGAATTAAATTTTCCTTTTTCAATTTTGGCTAAAAATATTAAATTAATTTTTTTTGTAAACTCTAATAGTTTTGTTTTATAAAATTTAATAATTCATTATTAGTTTTAACATTTAGAAGTTAATATATATAATAGATCAAACTATAAAATTTTGGTTATAACAAAATAAAATATATAAAAACTTAATTTCAAATGGAATATGTTGATATAAAGCATTGAATTTTATGGAATTAGGATTGATAATGGGAGTGAGAATAAAATTTAAAATTATGTTTGATATGTGATAAGATTAAAAAACAAAAAGTCTCCAATAAAAAAAAAACAGAGAATTAAAAGACACAATTATCCTTATCTTCTTCTTCCCCTCCCTCCATTCTCCCTTTATAGGTAAACCGTGAGCTACATCTCATCTAGTTCTTCTTTCTCCTTCAATTTCCCACTTTCAAACGCTCCTTTTTCTTATTGCAACCGTGAGCCGTATGATTTCAATGCCTCCCCACATGAAATGAAACAACCCATGTGATTATTTTAATACGTATGGAACAAAATTTAAAATAAGAAAAACGAACGCGAGAACAACCCGTTGATGCCTTTGGAATAATCCATGCATGATTTTAATGCCTCTCCTCATTTGACTTCAATTTTGCAACCAACATTTGAATCAATTTCACCCATCACCAGATTTAGAATAAAAAAGGTAGATTTCAATTTCGATCTCACCATCTCTACTTTTGTTTTTGCTCACTTCAAGGTTGATTGTTGCTGCTGATCTTCATCGTTTGTTGCTTGTTCACTGTTGCTTTCTCAAAGTCGTCGCCTGCATGGGTGGAAGCTGCCACCTATGAGGGAGGAAGTTGTCACCTGAGTCATCACGATCAACGTGCCGAGCAAATGAGGTGAAGGGGAAGGGGACAAAGTTAGATTTGGGCATTTTCTAAGAGGGCATTTTGGTCATAAAAGTTTCAATTTCAAGATTAATTTTACAACATCATAGGGTATCGTGGGTCTCAATATTTCCATCTAGGTGGGATGGAACAATCTCAAGTATTAAAAAATGTTTCATATCAAACATGTTAAAGATGATATTAATCTCACCCAATCTCAATCTTTGCCCACCATACCATACACGGCATAAGGATCTATAAATATTTTTTTATTTTCTACAAAAAATATCAAGGATTTTAACTTTTAAAGATTAATTAATAAAATAAATCAAACTATAAAGGTTTAGATAAAACAAAATACCTTATAAAAATTTAATTAAAAAAATGAGAAAAACTACAAGAAGTAATTTCTTTTTCCCCCCAAATGGTTTTTCAACTATCATTAGAAACTTAATATTATAGTACAATTTTTTAATATTTAAGAGTGTTACTTTTAAATTCAAAATCAATAATGTATAGATGATTTTTTAACCTAATAACTCATTTATCCCATATGAAAATACTCTTTCTAGTGTCTATTTCAAGAATACAGGAGTGGGAAGTTTCATTTCACTCGTGAATGATCCCTTCCCCTTTTTCATCGGTCGTGCGAGAATTCTACAAGTATTGCGAAATCCTTTCATTCCTGACCATTGTAGTCGCCGCCCAAAAAAAAAAAGAAAAGAAAAGAAAAGAAAGAAATTAAAGAAAGAAAAAGGGAACAACAAAAATGGGAAACAAAAAAACATAGGAAGATTTTGGAATTATCGTCTTCCTTTTTAATCTAATAAAGGAGTTTCTAACCTGGTCAATAAGAAATATAGATATAGGCGTTTTTATCAGCACACCACCAGAAAATTATTATAATATAGCAAAAGAACTTGGGGGTCAAAGAGAAATTAGAAAGCCTACGATAACGGAAGCAGTCTGAGACCTTGGTAGAGAGAAAGAGTTAGAAATTGTACTGTTCTCTCTACGGATTCGTAGAAGCGCTCAGCGGATTGTTGGTCATCATCTTCTTGAACTCCTCGAAATTAACGGAGCCATCGCCGTCCGCATCGACGGATTTGATCATGTTCTTGCATTCCTCCACGGAGCACGTCAATCCCAAGCGATTCAACACGTGGTGGAGCTCGGAGGCGGAGATGAGGCCATTCTTGTTCTGATCGTAGAGGTCGAAGGCGTCACGGAGCTCCGCGGAGTCGCCGTCGGCGGAGTTGGAGCGGCAGAAATCGGCGAACTCGGACAGGTTGATGAAGCCGTCGTTGTCCTTGTCTAGATCCTTCATGACAAGTTCGAGCTGGGATTCGGAAACGCTTGAGCCGAGGGATTTGAGAACGTTGTCGAGCTCGGAAATGGAGATCTGGCCGTCGCCGTTGGCGTCGAAGCGGCTGAAGACTCTCTTGAGCTCCTCCATGTCTTGAAGGTGCACTGTAGGTTTGGAGCTAGCTTCGGAGATACGGTTTGGGTCTTGGCTTGGGGTCATCGCCATTGTCAAGTCTCTCTCTAAGCTTTTGGCTTTCCGTGTGAGAAAGAGAGAGAGAGATGAGCGTTGAATGGTTGTGAGTGGAAGCGTTTCATTCAATTTCAATCCTTGAATGGAGCGGCCGAGCTTTCTCCCCACTACGACCGTACGACCTGTGGTTTATTTCTTTAGCGAATTCTAGCGTGTCACGTCGGATTCATTTCAATCGTGTCTGAAGAATTGACCAATAACAAAATAGCCCCTCCCATTCCATTGCAACGGACAAATCAATTCAGGACAATGACAATAAAATTATAAATCTTAAAATTCATGACAGTTAAGCTTTCATAAATTTTTTTAAAAAATAAGTTATAGATATTATTTTAAACAGTTGTAAACATAATCCCAATTATAAATTAAAATATATTTAAATTTAAATATTTTATTTATGGTTAGTACCACTAAATTTATAATTGTTTGAATTAATATTAATTTTCATAAATTCTAAGTTTTTAAGATTTTATTATTATTCTCCTAGTCAACCTGGAATCGTATATGATATGTCATATGTGTATGTTGGGCAATGGCAGAGTCATGACCTTATATCAGGTAGTGCAGATTAATTTTAAAAATAATAATTTAAAAAGAATTATTTAATTTTTTAAAATAATCATAAATTCTATAATTGTTTCATACTTCTATTAAAAATATTTCATTCCCTATAAGTTACTAATTTATGATATTATTTAAATATAAAAATATATAATAATTAACAAGAGATTTAAAAAATTAAATAAATAAGTATATTCTTTTCTAAAAATTATATTAAAGTTATGGACTTAGTGAATTCATAATTGAACTTAAGTTAAAACAATAATAACAACAACAGCCTTTATCTTATTAGATGAGGTTGGTAATTAAGTTAAAACATTTACCAAAAAAAAGGACCTAGATTTTAAAGGATTCAAAATTTTGTGACTAGAGAAGATAAAATTACAAAATATTTACTATTCATTTATAATTTTTTCTAAGTTGAGAGGGTGCATATGCCTCCCTCAAGTGTATATGGCTCCACCACTAGTTGGGGGTGGGGTAATGAGAACGTGTTTATCTCTTTTAATGATAGAAATTAGAAAATATGATAATTTTGTTCGAAACTTATTTAGAACCTTTCAATTTATCCTCCAAATAATTTGCAGCTCTTAGATTAGATAGGATAAAATCTCAATCAAGGAATGCATATTTGTACGTGTATGTGCGCGCAAATGTATGCACATATGAATAAAGGAGTAGGATTGACAATGTAGACTAACTAATGACTCACGAGTTAATCAACAGCAAGTCATGAATTTAACAAAATAGATTGACATAACTTATATCTTAGTAGGTTGAATTTTTGCCAACCTACACAACCTGTAGCTCATAATATAAATATTTTTAATTTTTTTAATTTTAAAAATTATAAATTCATTTTTTTATCTTTGCAATAAAAAAAATCATATTTTTCCTGAAAACTAAATATTTGAGTAACAAAAAATGTTTGCAATTGAAACTATCAAGAGTCATCAAGACAATATGCAACGAATTTTTCTTGACATTTTAGACTTTGTGCTGATCACATAACCAATTTTAAATTCAACTGCTATAGGTGAATTTAGTCATTTATTTTTTTAAAAAAATAATTATGCCTTGCAGAAAATCTTAAAAATGTGTCACTTATAATTTATTTATGAATAATATGATCTGTCAAAGTTTCTGTTATATGTGAATATATAAATTTTCTAAAGTTTAATTGTTAATCAAAATGGACGGTTCAAACATGTCTTCTAATCAATAAACAAGCATTTATACACTAACTCGTGAATTGAATTTGTCCAAATAATTTTTTTTTCAAAAAAGTAATAATGCTTAGGCAAGCTTAACAAATCAAACGGAGAAAAATAGCACTTGCTGTGAGGAAAATTTGCTGAAGCAATTTTAGGAGAAAATATCAGCTAGGCTAGCATAGATCATGAGCTAATGCTCATATAATCATATAGTCTCGTGTTTACCAATACAAATGAAGTAAAATAGAATTCACACCGATAGTTGTATTAATTATATACAGTCTCGTGACAACAACACATAAACTTACTTGTCTATATGTTTTGAGTTTTAGATAATTTAATGAAATCAATTTTAAAATTTAACTGAACAGTAAGGAGTTACTCTCGACCAACTAAATGAGGGTTTGCCTTTTTAACTTATTTTAACATAAGTTCAAGTTATTAGCCTGCCCCACATTTAAATGAATTTATTTTCTCCAACTCAATCCGTCACATTTTTTGCAGGTTGCGCCTCCAGACTCAACCCATATTATCAATATTAAAAAAAAAGGATAATCTTAATCAATGATGGAGACCTAGCAAAGGGCATTAAAACCTAAATATTCTCTCTCTCAAAGCATTGGTATCAAAACCTGAGCTTACAACCTGCAAGATAGACCTCTATGCAGTCTGCATTTTTAGAGCATGAGTATGATCCCTAAAGCCGCCACCCCAATTCAAGCATCCTGAAATTTAGCGACACTGCTTGCAAGTCTCCACCTCTCTAATTAGTAGTTGAGAACAAGAACTTACACTGAGTTGGATTTACATCCTTGTAAGTTAGAATGTAAGAATATATTACTTTGGTTCTTGCCATTCCAAAAGGCAACTGATATTATCACTACTTTCATCGCAACCTGCCAACTCAAACTAGAATTAACAATCACATACAACACAACCCCAAAGGCCTCGTTCATGAGATCAAAGGAACAACACTGGCATCAAATCAAAGGCAGGAGAAAACAATGGTTATTACCTCTATGGTCAAGACATGAGGCTTGTTAATGGTGTGCAAGTACCTTTAAATCCTCTCCAATCTAAGGTTGCATAGCTCATCCTCTTTAAACAACAATTTAGTTCAAAGCAGGGGATGGGCCATGGCGAGGAGCCCTTGCAAACATGGACCAAGAGATCGAAAGTGGAGCACCCATAAAATTCTTGGTGAGCTCCATGTAGTGATGCTGCCATAGTTTATGAGCTGTTTTCACTTTTCAATTATATAAAGTTGTTGAAGTTAGGATATAAAGCTGCCGGAGTTTACATAGAGAGAGGAGGTAGGGAGGGTGAGAGAGAAGGTACAGGGCCTACATTTGATATTTATTATAGAAAATATAAAAAAGGTAGGATCATAGGCAAAAATCTAAAAGATAACACCAAGAATTGAATTGTTCCTAAGTTCAATTTAGGATCCTCAATGATTTTTCTGATAAAGTTGATAAGTAAAAATGATCTTTAATCCTTCAATATAATACCTATCTATTATCTCTATTTCAAAATAAAAAAATAGGGCAGGCATTGATAAAGGTGATGATGATTTTGGTTCTTTAGATCACCTAATTCCTTTAATTAAGAAGATAGTGGTTGATCAAAGGAGTTAATTCTTGTTTTTTTTTAACATAGTTTGAGATTGATATGATACATTTTCCATTAGCCAATCTAAACTATCAAGCATATGGAAGGGCAATAACTAATTTTTAATATTTCTTACTAACAAAATTACAAAGAGATAGCAAAATTGTAGGGGACAAGAACTATGTAACCTTACCCCTATACATTTGTCTTTAGGTATCGGTGAAAAAAGACAAAAGCATGAAATGCTCTCACCTTAATTAAAATTAAAGATTAAGGATTATTTTTGTTCTTAAACTTTTTTCAAAATATTTATAGGTAGCCTGAACTCAATTTTAAGTCATTTTGACTTTTGAACTCATAAAATTCATGCTTTGTTATCCTTAAAAGTAGTTAATATGACCATGATTAACCAATTTTTATTCCAACATGATAAGAACTAAGAGTTTTCACCTATCATGGAGTCGATGAATTATGGTTGTGCACGCTGCAAAATAAGGGTTCCTTTCAGAGGAGTATAGCCCTATAATCATTGCAACAACTCCTTCAATTTGTTTGGTTCTATGGAGCTAGTTCATAGCTGTCAAATGGAAGAGTTCATGGTGGACCAACCATTTTTAGACAAGGAACCTGAATGTAGATGTGTGATATGCCATGAAGCTTTCATCAAGGGCAACATAGTTATTCGCCTACGCTGCACTGGTGTCTTTGACAAGGATGTAATCGAACAATACCTGTGAGGAAGTAACAGGGCAATGTGCCCTTTGCAACGGGAGGACACGCAGCCTCCTAAATTCTTGTGATAGTAAATGGAGATGCTGCTCAAAAGATAAATTTACTTTATTCTACTTCATACTTTTCTTTCAAGTTTCTTTCTTTTGTGTGGAACAAATCTTGAACAAGGGATATGAAGCTTGACAATCCAGCCATTTCTTGAAAAGCTGTCTTTGAAACAAAGGACTTGAAGGGTCTGCTTGGCTTTGATACAACGTTAAGCAATGTAAAGAAACAAGATTAATGGCATTACAACAGTAACCACCTTTAAGGATGAATGACTACAACGAAACAAAACCACACCTCTTTGAGGGATTATAAGCCATCCCCAGGCTATGGGGAACCAAACAACGAGGGATTACGCAATAACTTCACTATCTAAATGCCTAACCTTCAACCCTTATATAGGCTTAGGTTAACATAAGCTTGATTGAAACATTAATTTGCAACTATGCTATTGAGATTCTGATCTGATGTGAAGTGGAATCTATTCACGGTTCCCTCTATCGCAGTTAACGCTAAAGTCTGATGTTTGGGACAACAATCAGTCATGTTACTTTACGCAAAGGTAAAGAAAGGCATATTTAAGGACAGTCCCACAATTTCCTTGCTTGAGATTTATGAGGAAAAAATAATATTAAGAATAAGAAAAAAGTTGGGTTTTTAGTAATTTCGAGGCTCTGAGCTTTAGCTCCTTCGTACATTTCTTTCTTTTTCAAAAGAAAAGGAGAACCAAAAACACGAGGAAGTGAAGCTTTGAGTTGCAATCTGATTGATTGAATCACTATAACGATTCCTGCCAAAGCCGGGCAATGTTGGTGGTGGTGGGCTCCTTCTTTTAATTATTATTTTTCAAAAGCGTAACACACATCCGCACATGTCACTGCAAAGGTAGAGGCTACAGCTTTCAAACCAACGTTATGGTTTAACTAAAAAAAAAATTGCACAGTT